GCAGCCCGCCCCGACCGCCGGCCCGCACTTACAGACAACGCCGTATGGAGGTCTAGGCAGGCGCGGAGCGAAAAGGACAGGCGCCCACGTGTGACGTTTATATATAGCGCCGCCAGCCAATGAGGAGCCGCGGGAGGGGCGGGAGTTGCTAGGGCAGGAGGATCCTAGCGACAGGTCCCGGTTCCGGTTCCGGTTCCGGTCCATGAGGATGCTCAGGGCTGGAGCAGCTCCTGTATGGAGACAGGCTGAGGACAGTGGGGCTGTTCAGCCTGGAGAAGAGAAGCTGCTCGAAGATAGTAGAATGGTTTGGGTTGGAGAGGATCTCAAGGCTCATCCAGGTCCAACCCCCTGCCATGGGCAGGGATGCCGCACACTAGAGCAGTTTGCTCCAAGCCCCTGTGTCCAACCTGGCCTTGAACACTGCCAGGGATGGGGCAGCCACAGCTCCTCTGGGCACCCTGTGCCAGCGCCTCAGCACCCTCACAGGGAAGAGCTTCTGCCTTAGATCTAACCTGAACTTCCCCTGTTTCAGTTTGAACCCATCACCCCTTGTCCTATCACTACAGTCCCTGATGAAGAGTCCCTCTCCAGCATCCTTGTAGCCCCCTTCAGACACTGGAAGCTGCTCTGAGGTCTCCATGCAGCTTCTCTTCTCCAGGCTGAATAGCCCCAATGCTCTCAGCCTTGTCCCATTTCAGTGAGCAGCCAATTTCCAACATTCCCCCAAAAGCTCAGGAGCTGGCTCTCAGTCTTCTGTGTGCTTGTTTGATGATCTGCATTAGCGGGATCACCAGAACAGTTTTGGATACATTCTAAGACAGTCATTCAGACATTTGCCACATGGTGGTGACAAAGATGAGTAAAATGAAACTCAGCAAACATTTGTGAGCTCTCAGCAAGATCATTGACCATGACACAGGTGCCTAACACATTATAGACTTGTGTGGCTCAGGATAGCAAGAGCTGACGCGATGGGGCTATGTCCAACATACCTCCTAACAGATATGATGTGACTATTAGCTTGTGGGGAGGAGAGGTGGTGGTGTTACCATACTGTGTGCAGTAGATTTAGTCTGGAGAGCTCCCCTGTGTCATCAAAAGCTATCTGCATTCAAAGTGCATTTGAACATATTGATGGAAGTTCAGTAACAAATATTGCACTAAATATGTTATCAAAGGAGCTGCTTGAGCAGGGAGGTTGGACTAGGTGACCCCATGGTCCTTTCCAACATCAACCATTCTCTGAGTGCTGCTGGCAAGCATTCCACACTCCTCTGGAATATCTAATACTTCACTTACTTCTTCTTGTTAGTTTTGGCCCTTTCTGGCAGACCATGAGCTCCAAACCCCATGAGAGGGCTTGGAAAAGTCATGCTAAAGCTTGACACTAAAGTATTTCACATTATTTTCTTAAGCAACCTGAAAGTTTGGGTTATTTTGTAACTGTGTGCTGAGATACTTTAAAATAAACCTCTCTCACTAAGGGACATGTTATTCAGATGGAAATGTATCTAATGGATCATGTGTTTTAGACCACGTCCCTCCTGTCACTATTCACTTCTTATTCTACAAAGCTAGAATTGCCAAACACCTGATACAGAAGTTGTGGAGGTCTCATTTAACCTCTTGCTGGGTTTTTTTTGTCATTTTTAGTAAAAATCCTTAATGTACGATGCTAAAATCTCCCAAAGCATTTTATAGTGATCGAATTGGAAATGAAGACAGTGCAAAGTGGAAAATCAGCTCAGCACTTTGAGCCCAGAAGCAATGCCAGAAGGGATTCAGGAGCTCCACACTGAGTCTGTAGAAGTGTGTGAGATAAGGAATTATTTCTGTGCAGTTGTGGTGTCAGTGATTATGGCACATAATACATTCAGAAAGCAAGCAAAGCTTTGGCCTGGTTTTTATATGTAAAGAGGATCCTTATTTCAGTGTTTTATTACAAGGACAGTGCCTTTAAACTGGGTTTTTATTCCTCTTTCCCACCCTCTACTACCCAAGAGGATTAAAGAGCTTGTCTGCTATCTCTTCTCATAGCTAGGGCAGCTCTCAGCAGCACAAGCAGCAATGTCTTCTACACTGGAGGTGGTTCTCTAAGGCAGCAGGAGAGCTCTGGGGAGCCCTGCGTGGAGGAATGGGCACTATCACCAGCATAGCATAGGATCAAGTACCTGCACAAGCAATTCAGGTCCAGCTGGCCCAAGGCTGCACACTGGGACTGGCTGGTAGGACTGTTACACACAGGTAACTCCATATAAGAATGTATCACTTAGGCAGTATCTGAAAAGAGAAGGGGTTACAGATGTACATCTCAATATCAACAGCAGTGCTCTGCTTAGCACAACCTGCTAATGAATCCCAGGACCACACTGTGGCAGCAACAGGAGAGCCCAGCAGTCCAGCATCACCTTGCAGCAGAGGATTATGCCCCAGGCACAATGTCCTGTCCCCTGCTGAGATCAGACTGCCTGAGTAGCAAAGACCTGGTTGGCAGGAGATTAAAAACAGTCTCCCCTCAGAGTGCTCAAACCCCACTGTCCCAAAGGTGGGTATTTCACCAGCTAGTATGGGGCTTCTGTTTCCATCAGCCTTTACACACAGCAGGCAGGCAGAGGAAGCTGTGAAAAAGACAAGATTCCCCATTGTTATGTGTTCTTTCCATTTAAGTAAAGCTGATTTAGGTTGCACTAGCAGAGCCAGTGTATATTATAACTCACAGAAAAAGAGAGTATGCGTTGGCATGTATGTGCTCTGAACTCATCCAATAGTTCTGCTCTCTTGGGAGACTTCCTTTTCTCTTGGGAGGCTCTATTCCATCCCACCCCTTGTGGGTTGATTGAGGGTTGGGGTTTTTAATGAAACGCTGCAGAGATGACATGGTTCATTTTGGCAACCAGTTTTTAATAGAAATATATAATACACCTTCTCACATAAGTATTTTATATAGACACATGAACACTCACAATACTCAAACCTATGCCATGTTCCAAAGCTCCAGTTCTGTTTAAACAGTGCGGGGGGAACACTCACATAGGAAGAATGGAAATGTGAAGTTTCTAAAACATAAATAACCAGACTATTTCTCTCGTGACCTTACAATTCAAATACTGACTGCCTCAATACATTAACCAGCTGTGTTCTTACACCACAGCTGCACAGGGCAAGCAAAGCCAATGCATGTTCACTAATACGTACCTGAGGTCATTCTGAGAGGAATCTGACTGCATCCTGCCACATACAGAAGGGATCACACCACCTGCCCTGGCATCAAGCTAAGATGGCTTTGGAAGTGATTATCTGATAGGATCATCAGTGCTGAATTGCTGTCATGATGCAGGTATGTGATTAAACACCTGTATCTGGACCTTTTAGTTGATTTACTTTGCATTTAGGCTGTACAGTGGCCATTTGTTGTTGATTATAAGGGGTAATCTCTCTAAACTTCAAGTCCACACATTGGTCTTTCTTGACTTGCTATAGCTATTAAGAAACACAATAAATCATATAATCACTTCAGAAACAATATGGTTTTGAAGAGGGCAAAAGGGTGAAGGATGCTAAGGATCAGAGCTGAGAAAGTCTTGTGCCTGCCTATGTGATACAGCTTTTAGGAGACAGTGAAACAGAACTTCAGCCTTTCCCTTCCCCCATGTATGAGAGACCTGACAAAAGAAGTAATAAATAAAACTCACACCACAAAACTCACTCTCCCCAGCTCACATGTGCAGAAGGTTTTGGATTTGCAAAGGTTGGTGCTGTTTAGATGCTCTATTTCTTAACTCAAAGGAGCCCAGGCTAATTCACAAGTCAAAAAGCCTGCACTTTTCACTGCCACAACAACAAAGAGCCTCCTCATTCTCCACAAAGTAAAAGGAATGGAAGAACTTTCCCAAAACAAAAGCTAACACTGCTTTAGACCTAAAAAAGTAACATCAGTGGACTTAAAAACACTGGCACATGGGAATAAACTCTCTAGTTCTTCCTTCGTAACTGGACCAGGCAGGAGTACAGGGCATAAAAGCCACTGAAGTGTTCCTGCATTTCAGGTTTCTGATGAGGACACCAAGATTTACCACCTGGCTCAGGATAACTACCAGCAGGGTGTGCAGTTACCCCTGTCTCATGTGCTCGCACAAGTTCAAGTCACTAAGGGTAGGAAGGGAAGCAGAAGAAAGGAACAGTTCTTCATACTTAGGACTTGGCCAATTACGTGCCCACCTGCCTGACAGTGAGAAGCAGCAGAGGGAACCTGACAGCTTGTCAGTCACAACAGGGAATGATCCCATGCAGTGCTCTATTAACATGCAGATATGCACACACAGGACCCTTCACCACCATTCTTGGAGACTCCTGCACTGTGGAGCACCACTGCCCCCTCACAGATGGGCTGAGGCTGAAAACAGGCAGCACTTTCCAAGCCTCCAGCCCGCCACTGTACACTTCACTCACACTGTCATGTCAGTCATCCAACCTTCTTGACGTAGGAGCCTGGTAAAGAACTTCTTTTACAACCCACATCCCCTCTACCCTTGTGCTCAGCAGGCTGCCAGGGCAGGCAGTGATTGTGCAAATTCCACTCTGAACTACAAACAGGTACTGGTTGTTTGTACAGCTACAGTGCCATGTCTTTATGTTTATAGAGATATCTGCTCTGTTTCTAAAGTGATTTGTAATATCCCTAGATATTTAAGAAAAGCCAAAGCTGTGTTTTCTGCAAGGCACACTACAGAAGAAGATGCACACTTCCATGCCCAGCTTGGCAATGCCAACAGAGCTGCAACAATTCCAACCCAGCCAGCCAGCAGAGGCACAAGTGAAGAGGGGAGCAGGCTGTACCCAAGTTTGGACAGCACATGCTCCGAGGTCTGCCTTAACACAGTAGGAATGAGGAAGAAGGCACAGTGGATGAAAAGAAATGTATTTAGCTAAGCTTAAACTCAGGAATTCTGAACTGTGGACTTCCTCCTAAGAGAAAATGATAAGCCAGGAAACGGCAAAGAGAATTCAAGTTCCCTACCAAACACTCATGTTTCAAACTTCTTCCAACAGAAAAGACCAGCCTTTTCTTTCCAAACCCAAACATATTCCACATGCAACCAGCAGCAGATTTTAAGGGAAATCTAAAGTGTCAGTATCTATATCTACTTGCATTATACGTTTATGCATTATGAGCTATGACCCTAAAAGCTACACCTAAGGACCAGCTCACACCTAGGGTGTTGATCAGGGATTAACAAATGAATAGTAGGAAGCAAATAAATCTCTAGTACAACTGGGTAAAAAATGTAATACTTGAGCATTCCTGATACTGTGAGACCAGCAGGAAAAACGTTTCTCAGGGAACAAGTACAACTTTGGTAGCAATCAATTTTAAAGTGCCTTATGCTTCTTAATTCCTGTGCAAACACTGCTGTAGAGGCAGAAGCACATTTCAAGAGTGTTAAGATGCTCAATTACATGATAACACATGACACAGCAAGGAGGTACCAGTTACCTTCTCTGCTACCATGCACAGCACAAAGTGATGACAGAAGCCATGTTCCTGGCTTTCCTTCAGCACTTCGTTTCTTTTCCACCCACTCCTGTGATATACACAGTAAGAGACATCCAGTCTCCCACCATGGTCTGCAACGCTCCCCTGTGAGAACAAAGCATCCGAGGAAGCAGGATCTACAGAACAACCATAGCAGGAAGGAGGATCTACATCACACAGTTGTCATTGTGGTCTTACTGGTCAGACCAGCAAGGGTCAGGCTGGCAGGTTCTTCAACCACTGCTCTCTCCTCAAATGCTTTTGGCTCAGCAATGTCTCACTGAATAAAGGTGGTGAACACAGCTATTTTTAAAAGGAGCTTTTTAGCATAGTCACCAGGCTGTAGAAACCCTGCCATTGCCCATGGCAGTCTGCAAGCGCAGTCCTTCTGGAATGGACTGATCTAGTGACACAAAGATCCAATCCTTCCTTTCCTCTAGTTGCCAAAAGGCCTAATCCCCTTTATCAGAAGGACTTTCTCCCTCCTGGCTGAGCAAAGCTTATTCCTCTGTGGAACTGGGAAGTTCCTAGTGCCAGTTGATCACAGCAAGCAGCAGCAGGAGTGAAGCTGGTCACTTCTTGTGCAAGACAGTCAAGATTTCAAGCCCATTTTTTCCATCATCTGTTCATACACCGTCCATGCCATTGCTGCCATGAGAGTGCGTCTGAGGGCACGGGGCACACCGCCTCGGAAAAAGCCTGCCAGCCCAAAGTCCTACAATGGGAGAGAAACACATGGCAATCCATCATAACCTGCCTCTAGTGTTTTCATTTCTCGTTGTGTATTACACAGAACAGCACAGGACAGATTTCAGCTCAGACCCAGAATGGTTTAAGTAGCATTGAATGGTGAGGAAGAATCTGTAGCGCTGTACAACTGCAGGGCCTACCCAAGAAAGCAGGAAGAGCAGCGAGTGAAGAAGGAAATGCCAGGATGAAGACAATGGATGGGGAAAGCCACACTCAAGCCCAACAAAGAGGAGCTGAGGGTGTAACAGTTTCAAGACACTTCAGGAAAATGCTTTGCCTTTGGTTTACAGCTTCCTATTTCCAAAAGTCACCTGCTCTGATAGAAACTGAGATCTGCGAGTACTGAAGTCAAAAAGCATTCTGATGAGAGAAAAATGTAGCATGCACAAAAAAATACATGCAGAAATAAACAGATTTCTGTTAAGGAGTAGAGTTCAATATGGAAGCAAAGGAAACCTCCCAAAGCCTTGCCCTTCTGAGGGCAGGAAGGGAAAGACAGGCTTTGACTCCATCTCCATCCCATTCCTGAATATTGATCTCTTCTAGTGTCCAAAGGGCAAAGAATTGTTTTGTTCCTGGCTTGTATATGAAACCAGCACTTCACAATGAAGAAACCCTTTGCCCCAGTGTCGTAACTACAGATGTGCCTACACTGATAAACCAAGCAGAGCTGCTTCAAGCATACATACTAAGCTAAGCTGAAATGAAGTTACAATGAAATAAGCTAGGTGCTTTCCATCACTACCAGCATAAGAATCAATACGTAGCAGACAGAACTGAAGTGAAATCATTCACCAGCCTGAAAACATGAAGCAGGTCTGTGTGGAGAGATGCTTACTGGAATATGCCCACCTTTGTGCTCAAGTATTCTGAGCCTGCACATAAACAAGAGATTCAGCCTCAATCTCCCACAGCATGACCCACTTCAGCTCCTTAAGCTGACAGTGATTAGCCTGACTGCAAGAGCACATCAGTCACATTTGCTCACCTCCTTTAAAAGGCAACAGCTTTCTTACAATAGCTGTGCCTTGCAAAAGGAGATCACAAGTGCGGCTGAGTGGCCCATGAGAAGGGCTTCACCTCACCTTGTAGATGAAGACAATGGCCTGGCTTGTCCTGCGGTACTTCTGTGGGGATAGCTGCATGTGTGTTTTGATGACATCAGCAGGCTGCGTTGCCAGCGAGGCCAAGATTCCCGCAAAGATCCCACAGCCAAAATTCAGCAAGGGCATGAGCACTGGATCCAGCTCGTCTGCAACAGAGCAAAGGGAATGCACTCAGACACGAAACAGGCCAGGAACTCTCACGCTGTGTGACAAAAAGCTACCAAATGATTAAATCAGCGTCAGAGTCTAAGGGAATTAAAATCCACACAGGGTAGAGAAGCCTTTCAAGGGAAAAAGTGGCTACAAGTGTAAAGTTAGCACTATGAAAAAGCCTCACTTGCTGGGGAACTGAATTTCAGTTACTCAGAAAAGAAAAGACTGTACAGGTGCTGCTCCAGCCAGTTCTAACATCACAGCAGCTCTGGTTTAGTCAAAGCTGATCAGTATACAAGATAACCAGCAGCAGAAAGCACTCAAGACATCCTCCCTTTCAACTGTTCACTAACCCACCTGATGCACCAGTCTGCATAAAGACAATAAATCAATTTAGGGCGAATTTCTATTTCTCAGTTATAGGTCTAGAGTTCTCCAAAACATGAATGTCCCACCTAAAGCCCTACAAGAGCCTAATTTTAACCACTGAGGTAGAGGGCAACAAGCAGAGCATGCAAGCAGGCAACTGCAGGGCAAGATGGTGAGAAGATAAACGTTTTCCATTGCAGCCTCCAGTGTTCCACCTTACCCTGAGGTGTGAGGTTTTTGGTCTGTGTGTAGAACATCAGGTAGATGCCTGAGAAGGGAGCATCCCGCAGCAGCGTCGCGGTGAGCCCGCTGAACATGCCACGAACCCCTTCCGTCTGATAGATATTCTTCAGAGCTCCATATACACTCCCATAGCCAAATTTTCCACTCTGCAAGGGTAGACAGTAGTCAGTCACTCACACAGGCCAAGGAGCCCTACACACAGCCTGAAACCATAGCAGCCAAAAAACCCTGGAGTATGCACCCAATGTGATGCCCAAGATAGCAGCACAGAGAACAGCCCAAAGCAAAAAGTGGGTTTCACCTACCTCTAAAACAACCCTTCAGGAAGGTGAAACATGAAAAATGCTAAACAAACATTCTATACAAATGGAACTTAAAAATCTCAGGGTGAATTCTGTTTCATCTTAACAACTTTTGCCAAATATCAGTGCATGGCATTTCCTGCAAAATGGGATAGCACAGATGAAATCAGGACTACATCCTTGGCTATAGCCAAGAGGCAAGCACCTTCTCCAGACAGAGGAATTTCTGTCTCATTGCAAGGAAGGTGTGTGACAAACTCATACTCACCTCATATCGGGTCTTCACTACAGTGACTGGCAACATGCAAACCCCAGAAACTGCACGTGCAGTGACACCCAGAAGGACAGACTCCAGGGCTGTGGGGGACCGGTCCACTAGAAACTGTTGCTTCATCATGTACAAGGTGCTGAAGTAAATCCCAACCCCAGGAATACATCTTGCAAAGGACTTCAGAGGAAACAGAAGCAGGTAGAGAAAGAAAAAGCATACATAAGACAAAATGTACTACAGAACACTGTAAAGACTGTTAAACTTGACAGGAAGCTTGGTAGAAAATGAAAAATCACTGAAGCGAACATGCTGAGGAAAGAAGACAAAGTACAAATCATTTACCCATGGCACCGGGTTGGAACTGGATGATCTTAAGGTCCTTTCCAACCCAAACCAGTCTGGGATTCTATGATGTATGGCAATGAAAGCCAATTGATTCAGTTTTCTAGGAACAAAATATTCCAAAACAAAAAATTAAGTTGGTGCAGTCGCCACCCCACATTTGCAAATGTATCAAAAGTGTTCAGCTGCTGGGGACTCCAAAACCACAGGGATCACCATGACCAAATCAACTGAATTCACAACATTAATTGCTTAAAATAGGATTTAATCTAACACACATGGTTTCACTCATAATTGTGCAAGAGCTGGCTATATAAATCCAGGCAGCCATAGTCAGTAATAAAAGAGGGTGATGGGTTCAAACTGAAACAGGGGAAGTTCAGGTTAGATCTAAGGCAGAAGCTCTTCCCTGTGAGGGTGCTGAGGCGCTGGCACAGGGTGCCCAGAGAAGCTGTGGCTGCCCCATCCCTGGCAGTGTTCAAGGCAAGGCTGAACAGAGCTTTGGGCCACACCGTCTAGTGTGAGGTGTCCCTGCCTGTGGCAGGGGCTTGGAACTGGATGATCCTGAGGTCCTTTCCAACCCAAACCATTCTATGATTCTATGAAGCAACAGGTTTATTTACCTACTTATTTTTAAAAGTCAGAGTTAAAACAGCCACTTACTGGAGAGACTCCTTTCCAGAGCCCCAGAAGACTCTCAGTACGAACAACCCTGAAGAGCAGCGTTACCATCCCAGCACGGCTGGACCTGAAAGGAAGACAAGGACTGCAGAGGTGACCTGCTTCTGCACTGTGGCAGATGTACTCCACAGCCACTCCCTTTCACTCATACCTCTGTGCGTTACCCCAGCACCTCTGAGGTGCTCTTTCTCAATTCAGCCTGCTTTTCTTTGTATTCTTTCCAGGGCTTCTCCCTCCTTGTCTGCTCTCCCACTATTTGTAATACATGTCTCTCTCATTAGCACTTTTAGTTGCTCACTCCCTTTGTTAGCAGCAGCAGATGTACTCATAGTTGACTACACCAAGCAAATGGGAGTAGCTGCACACCTGGAAATGTTATGTGGCAACAGTACAGGATTTTTCAGGCAACCATTCCAGCAAATGCTGGTCTCTCCAGTGAGAATAAGACAAACATTGAGGTTACATGTTATTAAATGTAACCTCATGTTATAAAATGCTCACAAGAGCACCCATTTTCTCTCTTCTGGAGCAAATTATCCATCCTTTATGTTATAAAAATATAGCTCCTATTTCAGAAAGGCTCAGTATCCAAGTTAAAGCCCTATGAACTCCAAGCCCCAGACAGCAAACGAGGTGGAAACCTATGGTGGAGCACCCCACAGCCCCCAAACTTACACATCCCCGCTTTCTTACCCATTCACAGCAGGCTGCAGAGTTTGCAGGCGAGTTTTCAGCAGGTCCAGGGGTTGGAAGAGGAGAGTGGAGCAAGTCCCACTGATGGAGCCACAAACAAAGGCCTTTAAAACTGGATGCATCTGGAAGAGGAAGAAAAGGACCATTTAATTAAGAATGGCACCAGAAGAAATAGAGCAGCTGGTATTATGCATGTTAAAGGAAAGGAAGATGAGCTAACCCCAGATGCTAAGGACATGGCACAGCAAACTTTTTCAGAGCCTAAATTTTATTTGTGGTGTTTGGTCCCTCTGCTTTTCCTGGGAGATTGTTCCATAATGTCCTTGCAATTCGGTGGTTGGAAAGCTTTCTGAATGTCACAAAAATTACAGAATGAACCAGGTTGGAAAAGCCCTTTAAGCTCATCCAGTCCAACCATTCCCCAGCACTCCAAGGCCACCACTAACCCATGGCACTGAGGCCTCGTCTCCACGCTGTGTGAACACTTGCAGGGACGGTGACTGCAGCCCTGCCCTGGGCAGCCTGTTCCAATGCCTGAGCACCCTTTGGGGAAGGAATTGTTCCTCAGCTCCATCTAAACCTGCCCTGGTGCAGCTTGAGGCCGTTTCCTCTTGTCCTGTCCCTTGTTCCTTGGGAGCAGAGACCGACCCCACCTCACTCCAACCTCCTGTCAGGCACTTGTAGGGAGCCATCAGGTCCCCCCTGAGCCTTCTCTTCTCCAGACTGAACCCCCCAGGTCCCTCAGCCGTTCCCCATCACACTTGTGCTCCAGGCCCTGCACCAGCTCCATTGCCCTTCTCTGGCCCTGCTCCAGCCCCTCAATGTAGTGTAGTAGTACAACTTCTTGTAGTGAGGGGCCCAAAACTGAACACAGGATTTGAGGTGCAGCCTCACCAGTGTGCAGTGCAGGAGGACAATCACTGCCCTGGCCCTGCTGCTTTTCACCTGTTTCATACTTAACTGTCAAGTTCAAAACTATTTTAAGTACCACTACATCTCTCAGAACACAACTCACTGTAAGTATTTCTTCATCTGACCAACCTTTTCTTTGGGCTGAGGTGCAACGGGAGGATTAGCCAGTAGGAAAGCAATGCTGGGGGCCTGCGGAGTGGGGATCAAGTGATCTTTGACTGGTGTTTCAGGATCTCCACATACAGGATTCTTTAGACCTTCAATCAGATCTCCATCTACAGCCTCAAGAACAGCAATAGCAGCAATCTCTCAGCCACCATTTGGTAACCATTTGCTATATCAAAGGAAATGGGTGCCCCCTTCCCACCACCAGAGAGTTCCCTGTGTCTCAGCCCTAATCCCATCCAGCTCTGTTCGCCACTCTGCTGGCAGTGCCTCCAACCCTTCCCAGTGAACACCAAGGCCACAGTGGCACAGACACTACTGGGGCTCTCCCTTAAAGCTGTCCTCACCCTAAACCTGTCCCATCCACACTCACTGCCACCTCCTGGCACTTCAAACCCCACAGAGAATCACAGAATGGTTTGTGTTGGGAAGGACATTAAGATCATCCAATTCCAACCCCCTGCCATGGACACAAATGCCTCACACCAGACCAGGTTGCTCCAAGCCCCTGTGTCCAACCTGGCCTTGAACACTGCCAGGGATGGGGCAGCCACAGCTTCTCTGGGCACCCTGTGCCAGCGCCTCAGCACCCTCACTGGAAGAACTTCCTCCTTACATCCAACCTAAATCTCCCCTGTTTAAGAATGGTTTGGGTTGGAAGGGACCCTCAAAGCTCATCCAGTCCAACCCCTGCAATGAGCAGGGACAGCCTCAACCAGATCAGGTTGCCCAGAACCACATCCAGCCTGGCCTGGGATGTCTCCAGGGATGGTTCATCCACCGCCTCTCTGGGCAACCTGTGCCAGTGTTTTACCACCCTCACTGTACAGAATTCCTTCCTCACATCCACCCTGAATCTCCCTGTTTTTAGGTTAAAACCATCACCCCTCGCCCTGTCACAACAAGCCCTGCTAAAACCTCTCCCTATCTTTCTTACAGGCCCGCTTAAAGACTGATATCCACCACACAACGCTGCTTGGCTAATGACGAACGGCAGAACGGGGGCTTGCCGCACGGTGCTTTCCGAGGAGCACACTCACGGCCGCCTTCAACCGCGGACAGTCGGACTCGGATGAAACCCCTTTCCGGCCGCAGGGCCGCGGTGCACGGTCCCACACTGACCCCACAAGGCCCGCTCCCCTCACACCCTCTCGCTGAGGGGAGCCCGGGGGCACCGGCCCCTTACCGACACCTCCACCCCTACCTCAGCCTCTCGCCGCGGCATCCCAGCACCGCCCCGCAGCCATTGAGCGCGCCGGGACGCAATGACGCAACACCGCCGCTGGCCAATCAGAGCAGCCAACCCGGGGGGCGGGAAGCGCATGCGCCTGACCTTAACCCTTCGCGGCCTGCACCCCCCCCCCCCCTCACAGGCCGGTGCCGCCTGAGGCGTTGGTGGCCTGCGGCCGGGCGTGTGAAGGGGCACCGCAGCCATTGGCCTCCCCACACCACTGGGCCCGGTTCTTGTCGCATCTTTAGCTGTTGTCACGTTCTTTGGCAGTTCAGATATCCAGCACTTGCGTCCCAGCGGGCTCTGTGAGGCGCAGGCAGCGGGAATGGGGTGGTTGATAATGGTGTGGCCTCCATGTCTTCCCTCAGCGGCCCCTCCCAGCCGCCTTGCTGTGGAGATCCCAGTTCATAAAGCCGATCTCATCCCTGGCGCTGCCTTACCCCCAGGGTGTGCACTTGGTCTTCCACCTCCTGGGCCTGCAGCAGAGGGGTGAGCTTCCAGAGCATCGAGTCACCAGGTCATGGAATAGGGTTGGAAGGGACCTTCACGGCAGTGAGGCGCTTGTAGACTGGCATCAGCCCTCAGCCCACGGGCCTGAGCTCTGTTCCTTATCAGAGGAGCAGAAGGAGGCTGGGAGGAGCGCACAGTGGTTTCCAGGAGCTGCTTTTCTAGGAACCAGCTTGCTGTGCCCCGGCCGAGTGCAGGCCAGCGCATCCTGACACATTCCAACTGCCGTGGGCTGTTGTTAGAAACCAAGTCCTGAGCACAGCAATAGCCACAAGCACAGACCACTTAAAGAGAGGATAGACTTCTCTGAGAAAATACCACACAGGCCAGCAAAAGCTCTCCATGAGGGACCCCCTCTTGCCTTCTGCAGGCTCCTCTCTCATTCTGCAGTTCCCTCCTCCAGGCAGCGACTGTTATGCTTCATTAACTGACTGCTGTTAACGCATGGAGAAGAGGATTAGCCCAACGCCATCCCTCCTGGTGCTGCTTTCCCTAGCTCACATTGGGCCACCACCAGTGGGTGACAGCCTGTTGCAGCATGGTCTGTACCATGGGCTGCATGAGGATCTCTGCTCTGCACCTCCTGCCTCCTGCACTGACCATGGTGTTTGCAAGGGCTGTCTCGCTGTCCTAGTTACTCATTCCTCTCTCCTAGCTGCTGTTGCACGGTGGATTTTGCCCTTTCTGAACATGTTAGCACAGAGGTGCTACAGTGGCCACTGATGGGTCTATCTTGGAGTCAGCTGGAACTGGTTGCTTCCAACATGTGGGCAGCTTCTGGCATCTTCTCATAGAAGCCACCCCTGGAGCGCCCTTGCTATCAGATCTTGCTGCACAAACCCAAGATGTTATCATTGACGGGGAAACTGGCAGGGAGATATCTGTAGGTTTGGAAAAGCTCCTTTGGCTGGTGTCCTTTGGCTTGTTTCTGCTGTGCGGGGTGGGACTGGTTAGGTGCCTGAGCACTGAAGGATATGCTTTATTCTCAGGACTAATTCTGACTTTAACCATGGCAGTTTCCATTTGCTTTGAAGGCACAGTAAAAACACATCGAAATGATTGTTTAAAGGAGGGGTCTTAAGGACTCTAATAAGGCTGACAGACCCAAGTGATGTGTTTGAAATGTTTCTGTTTGGAGGTGAGGCTTTGTGTGGAGCTGAGTGTGGTGTGGCTGGATCTTCTCCCTGTATGTCTTTGGCTGGAGATACAGTGGGCACTTCTGTTGTTTTCCAAAGCAAAGCAGGGACTGTCACAGTAGCAAACAGTGCAAATCCCACAAATTAGCTCTTCCAGCATGAAACCCTGACAGTACCAGCAGCCTCCAGGTTCTTGGCTTGCTGTGAACCTGGAAGAGTTTTGCTCCCTGAAATTAAGCACTGATGCTGCTTCACTGACTTATGGAAAGCACATTGGACCCACACGGATAGTCCTGACCAGCCACAGGATGGGAGCAGTGTTGGGTCAGGACGAGGCCCCAGCAGATGCACTCATCAGCAGAGGCTGTGGTACCCCAAATGACGCTGCTGCTATTCTCAGGAGGGGATTTCTGTGACCTGGCTCTGTGCATTTGGGCACTTCAGCCAAGTCAACAGGAATGCAGACCGATGCAGAAGCACACAGATGTGCAGCAGCACACATGTGCATCAAAGCTGGTGTACTACAGCAGGAGCTTTGCTTTGCTCAACATTACTTGCTGCCTTTGAGGTACAACTATTAACCCAAAATGCATGCCAGCCCACGTGTTACAGTTAAAATTGACATATTCAGACTAAAGATCTAATTCTCTTTTAATTTCCTAAACTGGTTTTTACATCTAGACAGAATACTTAAAGTTATGGGGGTTTTGGTTTGTATTATTTTCTGTTGTGACTCTTTCTGGATCCTGTCTTGGGACAGTTAATAATCTCGATGGTGCTTCCTAACTGGTATATAATGGTATATAATCAGTGTTTTCAAGAGGCTGAAAATAAAACAGGATTACGCTACAATTACTGGGGCAGGGGGGGATTTTTGTGCATGATAATGCAGGTCTGTTCCTGTTTAGGAGCTTCTTTCAGCCAAGAGAGGTGCAGGACACAAATACCCTTTGTTAACATTTCTTTTACTCCTTTCTTAAACCTTTGGCTTGTTCTGACCTGCAGGTGTAGCTGGATGTTACCACAGCAGAAACGGAGTTGTGCTGCTGGCTGGAAGGACTGTTCTGGAAAGGATCAAGTCAGAAGCTCCCATCCTCATCATGCAGTGGCTTTGAACAAGTGACTTGAAAGCTAGAGATTCTGCCAAGGATTTAAGTAGTGTTGTCTCTATGTTGCCTTGGGAAGGAGGCTTCAGCATAATGCCAGAAAAAGCCAGGTATGAACAAGTTTCATGCCATTTTGGATCCAGACACTGCTAAAGTGGAAGTTCTGCAGTGCAGAGCTGAAAGATGTGGAAGAATCCACCAGGTCCCACTTCACGCTACTTCCCAAGGGGTCTAGCGAGCACTTCCTCATATATCCCACTTTTAGTTGGTGTAGTTCAATAGGGTGGTCCTTAAACATACCCTTTTGCTCTCTACAAGTGCTGCACAGGTTTTCACAGTGCAACAAGTGACAGTTGTGCAAAGTGAGCCCCACTGATGCCACTGCAATGCTCCAGCCTGTCAAGGCCTGTCCAACTAAACATACAGAGCATTATAGGTGGCATCAAAAACTCTGTCTTTCTAACAGAGACCCTCTGTAGAAGGTACACTCTGTTGTGAATAACACCAATAAATCAAAAGAAAACAACTATGTATTCTAGATTGAAGCTTGAATGTGGCTAACAATTACTCTTGTCTCTATTTTAAGATGACATGGTGAAGCCAAAGCAAGACTATTTAATGTGCCAGCATCATCCTGAATCCTTTTTACCCTGCATCATCTCAGCAAAAAGGAAAAGCAAGCTCAGGGTATAAAGCTAAGTAGCAGATATAAGCAGGACCAATATAACAACTGTGGTGGGTGCTTTTTATGCATGCGGGTGAACAGACATGCAGTCCATGGCAGGGGGGATGGAACCAGGTGATCTTAAGATCCTTTCCAACCCAAACCAGTGTGTGATTCCATGATGGTCTAGCCTCAGCAGCTGAGTTTTTCTTGTGCTCCCAGCTCTTGGGATGACCCTAAAATTTGGCACTACCCTTAGGCTTGCACAAATGCAGGAACATGCCTCCTGCTCTCCTATGCTCTCAGTGCCCTCACAGACACTAACAAGGCACCAAATTGCTTCCAGGCTTGTCCCTTCAGGAAGGAGAGGAGCTCTGAGGTCTTAAAGATGCTGGCTACCCACAGCAACACAGGGCAGGTCCTGTGCAGCCTCTGGATGTGGGTTTCACCTACATCCTTTGCACAGGAAGGCAGCAGCAGCTCAAAGCAGCTGGGCTGTGAGGAGAAGCTGATGTCAGGTCCAGCTCAGTGCTCCTGGTGGTGCTGCTGCGATGGAGGAAGGTAGCTGCCTCTGGCAGGAAATCCTGTGGGCTGCAGAAAGCATCTCCTGCCTCCCCACTGGAAGGGTTTGCAACCAGTGCTGGGGCAGCAGCGGGGGGAAGGTGCCCTTTAGACTCCAGTGAGAGCTAGGGAAGTGAAAGGCTTTGCAAAGACAGCTGCACATTTATGCTACACTCACACTACAGGTTCACAACCCTTGTGGGGAAGCCCTGGATAACAGCCTCACTCCAAGAGCAGTGAAACCTCTGAAAAGAGGGACATATCCACTAATAGATACAGTCAGCAGCACCAGTGAAAGGCTGTCCTCTTGGCAGTTTGGGCAAATAGGCTCCAGCACATACCTCAAAGTGCTCACAGAAGGGTTGGCTGCAGGGCTGCAGAAATTGTTTCTATCTCTTGTGCTTCAGCTGAGCGAGGTGTGATCTAGAGTGCTCATAGTGTGAATCTGAAGGGGAGATAGCTGGTGCTGTCCACCACCCTTTGGCTTTGTCCTGAATTTCTGTGAATCCCCTTCTCAACACCTGAGGGGTTGCAACATACAAACCCCCTTGTTTGCCCAAGGGGGATCTGGCACGCACTGGAAGGCAGGAGCTGGACTGCTGCTCCTGGATGTGATCCTGCTGCTGGGACTAGAGCCTTTCTCTGTGGTTAGAATTGTGTTTTGTTCTGCTCTCCTCAAGGAGGTCAGCCCAATGTGTGGAAACATTGTAAGGGCAGGAAATGTTCCACTGACATGAAATTAAATGTGTAGAAGAAAAGATAATCTATTCTCTGCTTCTTTTTCCTAGGGGAGGAGAAAGAGGAAGGGAGAGAAGAGGCAGCTGGAGAGATTGTCAGTTTGGTAGCACTGCCCAGGACAGAAGAAAACAGACAAGCTGAAAGAATTAATGATGAAATAGGTTTCTCAGGTGCAAGTATAGTGCAGTTGCATTGCATGCAGTATCTTTATTACAAAACTTCAAATATAGTGATACCTTGTAGGAAGAAATAGAGCAAGAGTAAAAGCTTCAGAACACCATTGCATTTATCTATCAATATTTATATATATATAAAAAATACATATATATATAATATGCATGTCTATGTACGTGTACGTATTTGTGTATATAGACACAGGTGTGTATATGTTTGTCTATGTACATCTATATGTATAGGTAACTGTTCAAATATAAATCTCTCAATGATCTTAAGGTCCTTTCCACTCTTAACCATTCTATGATTCTATGAAACCAGTCACTCACAGTTACCAAATTGGAGCAGTAACTCCAGTCATACACTCAAGAGCAGCAACTATACTGGCACATCAGTTGTTTGAAGTGTTCAGAAAGTTCCCCCATGGCAAAATGTGAGTTTCCTCTAGCCAGAAATCTGGGATTAGGCATCTCTGGAGCCTTTGGCTACTCAAGCCAGCCAGTGCTGTCTGGTTTAGACACCTCCATGTTACAGGATGCTGGGTGTGTTACCCCAGTTTGTATCTCTCTCCATCCTGTTTTGGGCATCCACACAACAACCAGCCCCTTAGCAAGCAGATCAGGGCTCTGCTGAAAGCAGGAACCACCTTAGCCTGTGGCTTACCAGCAAGCAGGACCACAGGAAGCTTTGCCATATCACTCTTACTGCTCTCTCAGTTCACACTCAGTATTTTTCAACTCTTCATCATTTTTCTTCATGGTAACTATTTCTCTACTCATCCTTAGGACACTCATTCATTCTCGTAAGGTTTTATCCTTGACAACCACAGTGTAATTTCTGAGCTACAACTTCCAAACCCTTCCAGCCCCGGAGCTGCAGGCCTTGGTAGTAGATGGAGAGCCAGGATCATACCTAGATACTCCTCCACATTGATTACAACAAAACACATGCATATAGCATTTCTCTTTGTTGCCTATCTAATTACTCACCTACTAAGCTCTTTCTTGGCTGGAAGCCTCATTCAGAGCTGTCAACAAAGCAAGGCCCTGGCATGATACCCGAAACATTGACTTTTTCTCCCCAAAGAGTGGGTTTGGGCTCCTGCTGTGAGCCTTGACCCTGCTTACAAAGCCAGTCCACTCTGATGGGATGAAGGAAGGAGCAGCCAAGTGTCCTGAGTTTGGAAACATAACCAGTTTCTTTCAGTACTGAATCTGAGGTAGAGGAGAAAATGCTTCTAAGGCACCTCTCCGTGCTGCTCAGAGAGCGCAGAGGTCTGCTGGTAATTCCATCCTCCCTTTCACAGTGCAGGCAGGGCAGGACATGCCAGGGAAACGGGAGGAAGATGCTAAAGAAAGACACTAAAAATTAAGAACCCCAAAGGCAACCATGTTAAAAAGCAAGCTGAAGCAGCTGCTTCCACTTTTTCTACTCTAAAAGGTTGCTCAGTTCTCTGTGGATGCCCTGCTGGGAGAATGTCTCAGCTTCAGGTCATCTGTTCAGGATGAAAGTTTTCACCTGTAGCTCTACAAGACAGCACCAACAGAAGATGACTGTGAAGATGCTGCATGCAGAGACGAGTGCTTGTCCAGCCTGTGCCCACTGTGGTCTTTGCAGAACAGCAGAAAACGGGTGTATTTCCTGAAGGCTTCATGGAGGTGCTTCTTGAACTTCTCACCCACAAAGGCGTAGATGACTGGATTGAGGCAGCAGTGTACAAAGGAGAGCGCCTCAGCCAGCTCCATGGCTAGGTCTAACCTTTGGCTTGTCTGGCAGTCATCGATGATGTGCATGTTCTTTAGAGAGTCCATGAAAAGCACAATGTTGATGGGGGTCCAGAAGAGGATGAACACGATGACAACAGTAAAAACCAGTTTAATTGCTCTGTACTTGTTCTGAGTATGGCACTTCTGCAGGTTTTTCAAGATGCTGTGGTAGCAGAAGATGAGCACACCAACAGGGATCAGCCACCCCAGGACATTGACTTCAAAGTTACTGAAAGTCCTCCAGCCATTGCTGCTGTCAGGATAGTGAGGCAGGCACTTAGTCTGGTTATTGTAAGTTGTCTCCTGGAAAAATATCATGTCTGGTGCTGATGCTAAAATGGCAACTGCCCAAAGGACCAGGCTGGTGATAGCCCCATGAGCAGTTGTCCGAACCCGTAGAGCGTAGACAGACTGGACAATGGCCAAGTACCTGTCGACGCTCATGATGGTAATGAAGAAGGCACTGCTGTAGAAGGCAATGAAGTAAGCTGAGCTGATGATTTTACACATTGCATTACCAAAAGTCCACTGAGTTGTGATGGAGTACTGAACCAAGAAGGGCAGGGAGAAAACAAAGAGGAGGTCGGAGATGGCGAGGTTCAGCAGATACACATCAGTCATGGCCCTGACTTTCTTGAACACTGTTAGGATCCAAAGGACCAAAGCATTTCCCACGAGGCCAGTCACAAACAGGAGGGAGTACAGCACCGGAAAAAAGGCAGATGAAAATGCTGGGATATTGTCAAGATCACAGTGGATGTCCAGTTCTGGGTAGTAGAAGTTGTATTCGTAGGCTGCAGAGGAGTTAGATGTTGGGGCCATGTAACCCACCTGTCCAAGAATAGTGAAGTTCATGAGGCTCAAATACCAAATTACACTCTTAGTATACATACTAGGCACAAGCCAGCTCACAACAGGCTGCAGAGAATCATAGACTGGTTTGGGTTGGAAGGGAACTCAAAGCTCATCCAGTTCCAACCCCCTGCCATGGGCAGCGACACCTCACACCAGACCAGGTTGCTCCAAGCCCCTGTGTCCAGCCTGGCCTTGAACACTGCCAGGGATGGGGCAGCCACAGCTTCTCTGGGCACCCTGTGCCAGCGCCTCAGCACCCTCACAGGGAAGAGCTTCTGCCTAAGAGCTCATCTCAATCTCCCCTCATTCAATTTAAAGCCATTCCCCCTTGTCCTGTCACTACCTGCTCTTACAAAAAGTCCCTCTCCATGAGGACTGTGCCTCAGCTGTGTTGGAGGATCTTAAGGTCCTTTCCAACCCTAACTGTTCTATGATTCTATGATGCAAACAAGGAATAAACGTGAGTGATCAGTCCTCCCCTGCAAGGTCCTCTGGCAGCTGTGGTGGTAAACCAGAGGTTACCAGTATTCCCTACCAGCTCTGTGTGGGGTGCCCAACCCCATGCCTCAGTCCCGATGGGGTACCAGCACCAGAGACAGGGTGCATCTCCAAACCAGAAAACAAATGGGCATGGCCAGGGGGCTGAGAGCCCCTAACATAGGTTTCAGGGTCCTGTTCCATGTTTCCTTTAGAAAGGAGGAAGGGAGTAGGGCTCAGAGAGGAACTGATGCTCATTTAAAGGCTGTGTTTCCAGTTAGCTGAGTGCCAGAAATAGCATTTCATGGGATCAGTTCCTGCACAGTTCCAGCAGGCTTTAAGCTATAAAGGCACCAGCACATACAGGTCACCAGTGAGTGCTGCATATGGCATGTTGCTCCATGCCAGGTGGGATCAGAAGTGGCAGGTCTGATCTGAAGGATAACTTCCCAAAGAGCAGACAGGGCTTTCTGCCCCTTCCTCCCTCCTCCCCATCAGGAGCTTTTCCCTCGGCCTGTGCCAGCACAAACTGCTGCTGCCAGCAGCTCCTGCCCACCAAGACTTTCCTCTACCAACAGGTTTGCCTTTCAAAACCAGTGGCTTTGCTCTCCCAGCAGCTGCCAGGATGCACCAGCATCAGCAGCGTGCCCCTTCTGTGCTCCCTGGCCCCTTGCAGCCCACCCAACAGCAACCACAGCATCCCTGTGGCACCCAACAGGTAAAGATAGGTGACGGCACATCTCCCAGCCAGGATGTCCTTCTAGCATTACCCCTGCCCTTAAAGCCAGCACACTGATTTCTTCCAAACCCCCATCATCCCTACCAGCACTGTGTATTCCCATGGGCAAAACTGGACCCCTCACATGTGCTACCAGCCTCAGCTTGCAGGACAGCAGCCCAGCAGGGAGAGACTCACCGACGTGTCCTCAGAGCCCAGCAGGTATGCCAAGTTCCCCTCCATAATCCAGCACTGGGTCTGAAAAAGTGCCAAAGTGATGTCTCTGTATCACAGCTTCTAAGAAGCGGGCATACCTTCACCCGTATGTGGGGACAGCATTTACCTTAGCAAGTCGTAGGCAAGGGCTTCACTGGAGCAGTGCACAGTCATAAAGTGCCTTTTCCTTTGTGAGATAAGTGTTACATTGAAGATGTGTGAAACCCCAAACCAATGATTTCAGCCTCTCAGTGACAGTCGAAGGAACGGAAACTACCAGGTATGTTTTCTGAAGAAGCAGTGTGTTCTTTCACTTTGAGCACCTCTATGAACGTCAGTGGAAGAGGTTTGCAATTACCCCCCTGTGCCCATGACGTGCTCCCATCCCGCCTCCTGCCCCTGCTCTGCAGTCCCTGTGGCAGGGAGAGAGGAAGCAGTGCTCCTCCTCCTCTGCTCCAGGGATTCTTGGTGAAGATGCCTATGGAGGATGGCCCAAGGCTGCCAACAGCCAGCAACTGCAAAGGGCACGATGTTCACATGAACATTTATCCTTGGGAGGCACCTTCACCCTTGCACCCACCCACCCACAGACAGAAATACCCAAGAGAACTGATCATAGACTCATGGAATAATTTAGGTTGGAAGAGACCTTTAACATCAAGCCTAACACTGTCAAGTCTGTATCACCCTTATAGAATCACAGAATAGTTAGGGTTGGAAAGGATCTTAAGATCATCCAGTTCCAACCCCCCTGCCGTGGGCAGGGACACCTCACACTAAACCATGTCACCCAAGGCCTCGTCCAGCCTGGCCTTGAACACTGCCAGGGATGGAGCATTCACAACCTCCTTGGGCAACCCATTCCAGTGCCTCACCACCCTAACAGTAAAGAATTTCCTCCTTATATCCAATCTAAACTTCCCCTGTTTCAGTTTTAACCCATTACCCCTTGTCCTATCACTACAGTCCCTAATGAAGAGTCCATCCCCAGCATCCCTATAGGCCCCCTTCAGATACTGGAAGGCTGCTATGAGGTCTCCCCGCAGCCTTCTCTTCTCCAGGCTGAAGAGCCCCAACTTTCTCAGCCTATCTTCATATGGGAGGTGCTCCAGTCCCTGACCCTTCCTTCCAAAACATGCACCCTGAAGACACTCTCACAGATAACACTGAAGTAAAGCCCTGAACAACTTTACTGCATTTCCACTGGCTCTGCCAAGTGCCTGCTGGTGCCTTATGGCCTCCTTAGTCAGTCCCGGACCTCTCCAAACTGGAGCTGCCAGGCTGCCCAGCACAAGGAACAAGCAGCACCAGCAGCCCTAAGCCTGCTGTAGAGCTGTGAGACGCAGCAGGGAGAGTGGGTCAGCAGCCACCCGGTGGGAGCTGGGGCTGAGGGTGACACTGGGACACTCACCCCACTCCCATCCTGCTCAGGGAGGTGTTTGAGTGTGCTGAGCACAAGAGGAGCAGCATTGACTGCTGCAGCACCTGCACAGAGCCTGCGGCAGGACATCCTCTGGTGCCTGCACTGGTGGGTGCACGCACTGGAGCCACTGCTGCTCCTGGGACACACAGCACGGGAGGCTTCACAACCCTTCCTGGGGTCAGGCTGCGGCCCCAGAGGGACAAATTGACACCAAAAGGCACCTTTGCTTGCAGCTCACCAAGCTCCAGCCCAGGCTCTGCCTATGGGGGCAGGATGAGGCGTCAGCAGGCGTCAGTGATGGCAGTGGCACAGGCTGCTGGTACCTCCTGTGCAGGGGAGAGATATGGTCACACACCAGTGTAGGAGACCCTGGCTGTGCCCTGCATGGCAGTGGGAAGCCCTGTCTGAGGGGAGCCTGGGAATAAGGCAGATTAGGCACCAGCTCTGGAAGGCAGGTGCATTCTGTTCCAGGAGACCTGGCTGAGCCTCTCTCAGCTCTCCAAAGCAGGAGGAAACATTTTCATCCCCAGACATAGCTCCTTATTCTCTCCAAGGGCAACTTTTGCATCCTTACCTTTTAAATGATGAATGTGTCTCCCAGGGGTGGCTGGATTGGCTGGAAAGGCACCAGAGCTGAGTTGTCCCCTTGCATCTTTCAGTGACATGAAAGGATGAGGCTCCCTCTGCTGGGTTTTCCTGCAGAAGTGAGGCACAGACATGATTTCTATGCAGGGCTGTGTGTGTGATCACATACACACACACATACGCCCCTCACTACAAGGGAGACACGGAGGTGCTGGAGTGAGGCCAGAGAAGGGCAATGGAGCTGGTGCAGGGCCACCTCCCTACAACCTCCTGTCAGGCAGTTGTAGAGATCAATAAGGTCACCCCTCTTGAAGCATTTATCTTGCAGGGCAGACATTTCTTCCCAAAGTGCTTCAGTCCACAACGCTTGAACTTGCCAGCACAAGTGTGCCACAGCCTGTCTGCCTGAGCTGAGCTGAGCTGAGCTGGCCTGGCCGCGGAGCACAAGGAGATGCTGCTGCTGTGGAAACACCACTCGTGTCCCCACATGTGGAAAGATACAAGTGCTCAGATTTGGAAGGAAACTCAAGAGGGAGGGGGAATAAGAAGAAAAGGGGTTTTCCCCACTCTTTACCCACTGTATCCCTGCACGGCACATCCCTTACTCCTGATTTCCTCCTTTGAAACCCTCCCATACCCCACAGTTGGGAAGGCACCAAAGTCTGCCTTAGCTCTTCCCAGGGAAAGTCTTGCTGGTGACAAGAGATGCATTGTCTCTTTTTAACTTGGAGAAACAAAAGATGCTTTTCCCCCTCATGTAAAGACCAGAATGAAAGTATTTGCAGCAGCTTTCTCAGGCTTTCTTATCCCTGAGGTGTTTCCTGAGTACCAGAGGACGAACAGAGGTCAAAGATGGAGAGCAGAGATATTTCTTGATGCTGCAACTGTTTTTCAGGCTGTATTGTGTTCATTTTGTACCTATTCATGTTCCACTACAAGTGCACACCATGATAGTGAGCAACACCCTTATCTAGGGTTATCACTACCTATACAACAGAAAGCCTCTTTTGTCTCCCTGGGGAGATGCGTTGAGGATCTGTGAGTCAGCCTGATTTGGTTTCCCTTTATTTGAGGTCCTCCAGTTAAAACCTGTGGGTATTCCTTTTGGCAAACCTCATTTCTTCTTTGCTAGCTTCCAGTTGAGCTCTGGGCAGCGCTGGAGGGCAGGGGTTGACCACTGCCTTTAGGGAAACAGCTATAAGAGGTTTATAAACGATGAGGTTTAAAGATCTGCTGCTCTGGTCCTTTCCTATTCCCTAACCTTTAAACTTCCTTTTCAGTATGTACCTTTGCTGTTCCTGGCTAACACCTAACCAGGAGTTGGTTCCCTGGTTATTTCCACGGGTGCTGACATCACTTGTGCAGTTTGGTTGATGCTGGAAGCTCAGTTTGACCTCTGGTGTGTTGCTGTGTGGCTGTTAGGGATGTAACCTTCGTTAGACAAAGCATAATGCCACGAAAAGACATGTAATTATCAGAAATAGCAGAACTCAATTTGCACAAGAATATTTGCCTGGCACGTCAATACACCAGTCAGTGAGCTCAGACAACCTGGAAGATGCTCACCATCCCAAACCCCCTCTCCAGCCCTACCTGTTTGGAGGTGGCATTACTGACTTTGGAGAGAAAGCATTTGAACCTCCCTTGGCATCTGAGGCAGGGACAGGACCCGGAGGTGTTTCCAGGACTGTATTCCTGCACGTGCCAGAGGACCTTGGTATGGTACCTTCCCCAGCTGGACACTGTGTCTCAGATCCCCATAATAATACACCCCACTGCACATGCCCCAGCCGTGCCTGAAAATGTGCTATCCCACTGGGATGTGTGGCATCCCATATAACACAACCCTGAGCGTGATGCTCGTGTCAGGGACCAAGAAGGCTTCTTGATTAATGGACATGCCAATGCTTAAACCTTCAGACTCCTCCTGTCCACTGGAAGCCATGGGCTGCAGAGAGATGTTGTACTCAAAACCTTGTTTACAGGCAAAGAGGAAGCACGTGTGTAGGTAAAGCCAAGAACTGATAGTGTTACAGCAGTCTCAAAGCTCCAATCATCATCAGTCTAGATCTGCTGGATGCACAAAAAGAAAGACTACTAATGCAGCTTAAATTATTATGCACATGCAGTTTCTATCCTTTTTCACTTCCCTGCTGCTTTGGGTCCTAAGGCCAGCAGTTTTACCCAGGGGGTGGTGTGATGCTGGGGAGGGAGGTGTTGGAGTGAGCTGTCAGCATCTCCAGCCCTTCATGGGACCAATGCAGTGGTCCTGCTGATGGGTTTTCTGCGTCCCTGTAGGATCTGCTTGGGGTTGGTTTTATATGTTTTCTGACATGCTTTCTGACCTTCTTCTGCCTTCATTGGTCTGCAGCCTCGTCTTACACCCAATTTACTATGTGTGGTGCCCCTTACATACGTTAGGTACTATTTTTATTCTGTGTGTTACTGCTGAATGCAGTTTTGCCAGCTCCAGGATGTATTCACACAACCAGTGAGTTGCTTATAGCTGCAGTGGTCCCCAGTGCCAGCCTGTGCCCCACCTTGTACCCTCCTATACCTGTCCTCCTCTGTGCTACATCCTATGTCCCCACTGCTCAGGGCAGCATACCAGACTTGTGTACACTGCACCGAGTCAAAAATACCTCATTCTGCATAAGACAAGGGGAATCAAGGGGGTGGCAGCTTTTACACCCCTAATATAAGGCTCCTCAGGCATTTCTTCTGTGCAGATCTTGTCCTCTGTAAGCACTTCTGCCCCTTGGAGTGGCCACATCCTGCTTCACAGTTTCACAGGGCGCCAGCAGGACCGGAGCAGAGCACATTAATACTTTCTCAGCAGAGCCACGAAGCTCAGCCCAGGAAGCTGCCCTGCCAAACTTCGCATGTTTCATAGGGCAGGCATCAGCTCTAAAGAGGAAATATACATTTAAACCCAAACAGGCTCTGCTTGAAGAAAACATTGGTTTTCACTGCAGCTAGGAATTAAGGTAAGAGACAATTCCACTTGACCTATAATTTGACAGAGCAGGAGGACAACAAATGGTGTCTGATGTACTTACTTAAGAGAACTCTTCATTGCTTAGTGCTTGGAATGTAAATGATACTTAGTTTGGGTAAAGATGATGTGGATAATGCTTACAAACTGTGAAAGTAGAAAGGGAAAAGCTTTTATTAATCAAAGTGACCCAGAGCAGAGAGATGTTACTGTGATGCCTTATTTGTGGCAATATTCACCCTGGCTGGAAGTCTTCAAGGTTAATGCTGGTAGATGGCTAGTGTGCAGCACAGAAAAGACAGAGCAAGAAGATGCAGCCATTCTACTTCATTAGAGGGTTTTTGTTAGATGTCAGAACTCACCAGTGTTGCTTGATTTTAGTTCAAGTCAGTGAACCAACATCCCAAACAGCGCCGACACTGAAGGACAGCCCCAACCAGAAAGTCTGCTAGAGATGGCAGCAAGTGTCTCATGAGGACAGAGCAGCAAGAGAATGGCACAAATGAAAAGAAACCCTGAAACCCCAACTTTCTGTATGAGCAAATCACTTGATTTCTCTGTGACTCAGATTTCCATGGGAAGGTTTTGTTGTTACAAGGATGGCTGCTGGTTGGGGTGAGACATTTGGGTAATCCAGTGATTGCAGCCCGTTAAGTGCTTGTGTAATATAAACATAGATCCAGAAACAGAAGTTCTGTTGGGGCAAACCCTGTGTTGATGCAGCCGGACAGAGGCAGTGAATTGGGTGAGAGGATAGAAGACAGCAACTGGAATGAATTCTGAGGGTTGGGGCAGCACAGAAAAAGTCCAAAAGGGAGAGGAAAAGGCTAAAGCTTGGCAAAGGAAAACATTTAAGACTTGAGACTTAACACTCTGAGAGTAAATCACAGAGTAAACGTGATCTTCCCAGGAAGGGGCTGTCCACTCCAGAACCTAAATCTCATCTGGACATAGCCCAGTAGTAATGCTCTCTAAAACAATAGAAGGTGATCTAAGAGATGCCCCATTTGTAGACAGCCTTCTCGGTTTTCTGAAGGATGCTGAAGCTATGTCAGCTTATTAATAATAAAAAAGGGGGGGCAGGAAGTAAATAGGCCCCACAATAAATGTGGGGAGAGGATGGGGTGAGTGGTAACCATAAACAAGCGCAAACAGTGCACATAGCTACAAAAATTCATCTGTTTTCACTGTCCCCCTCAACAGAGAAGACAAAAGGAATTTGAATGCTGCTTAAGAAGGGCAGGCCTAGGAAAAAGGACTCCTGAGGAGCAGCAGGTAAGAGAAAACACCACCGTAATGCTCAGCAACAGGTATAAGCTTACACAGTGTCGTGAGTTCTGTGCGGGCAGGAAAGGCAAAAGGGAACTAACTACAGGACATACCTATGAAACAGATTTCCCAAGAAAACCCTGATCCCGGCAATCACCATCCAGTCAAATGACAACCCCAAACCCCAGTGCCCTGTGGGCAGCAATGGCCCCAGCAGCTGAGTTAAAGTGCTCCCCAGCTCACTAGCTGTGAGGGCAAATACAACTGCTGCTCTCCAACAGGATCCTCACAGCATTCACCTGGTTTCCCATCTCCTGGCTAACCAGCTCAGGTTGCAGAGGCTTTGCAGAGGACCTGTGGGTCTGGCCACAGAATCATGGCCCTGAGAGTCACGGATGAAAGCTTCAGAAGCATTTCAGTGATTTTTGAACCTCAGCTTTAAGACCCTTAGGAAACACAGGAGTCTGAACCATACTGTCAGGCCATGGCTCCTAAATGTGTAAGTCATTTCTGAAACGGGTTTTTAAGGCTCTGACCTCCTTAGGACAAGATTACTAGAGGTAGTTTGATTGCCAGAGGTTCAGGCTGGTGTCCTGTGGGACTTTTCAGAAGCCCCCCCCCAGTATTTAGCTCCCTTTCAGAAGAATGCCCCATCCCTGGCAGTGTTCAAAGCCAGGTTGGACAGGGCTTGGAGCAGCCTGGTGTGGTGTAAGGGGTCCCTGCCCATGACAGGGAATTAGAACTGGATGAGCTTTACGGCCCCCTCCAACCCAAACCAGTCTGGGATTCTGTGAGTCTGTGATTGGTATCAATGATAGCTCCCCAGGAAGATGCCTTGATGTGACTATTGGCATGGTCACTTGCTCAAGAGCCTTGATTATGCCCTGAAAGTGGAGCCATGACAAAATCAGAGTATATGCACTTTTGATGTGATGGGTTAAGCTGAAACCTGTGCCCTGGTTACTTGCTACCCTGCAGTTATCTCCAGGTTAGCATGGAGCATCTCTAAGAAAGCACTTTCCAATGCTATAAAGCCCTAGAGAAGGGTGAAAAAGATCCTCTCCTGCCCTCCATGATCCAAGACTGATCTTTTCAAGTGTATTTTTTTACCCCAAACTATTGGTTTAAGTTTGTAGGTTTTATCCCCAGCTAGTGGAGTCTGCTTCCAATTCAGTTTGTGATGTTGGTGTCAAAACTGTAGAACTGGTCCAGGGAAGTGGCGTTTTTTGTATCTCTTTCACCTAAATGCCTTTGTAAAGGGATCATGGGCCTCTGCAAGATTTAGACTTGCATTTATCTTAATCAGCAGTGGTTTGGTTGGCTTCCATTTCTGGGTGCTTTATTTAGGACACCTTAAATGCCCTAATTTTCAGACAGCCTCAGCATCACGTATCTGCACCTTGAATCCACCTTGAGCTGGAAACTATAATGATGCAGCCCACAGCACTATTCTCTCTCAAAGAACTCACCCTCAAAGTCCAGGGCCAAGTCTCCATGAATGAAATCAACCGAAGCAATAAGTGATTATTGAGAATAACTCTGCCAGGCCACAGAAATGGCCCAGCTGATGTAAGAATAAATCACAGAATTAAAAAGAAACACTAAAGAAAGGCATTTTCTCACCTTAAAGCCATCAGGGAAGGGCTGGAGGACCAGGGAGCAAGGATGCATCTGGGATGACACCACACACCCACTTGGAAGCGATGGAGGAATGATAGAACTGGTTAGAAGGCATCAAAGCATGCAGGGTTTAACAGAGGCAGTACAGACTGGCTGTTTGATAGCAACATCCCTGTCCCCAAACAGAGGGGACCAAAACAGTCGTTGTTGCTAACATGAGTGTGCCCCAGTAGCCCATTTGCTCTGCCTCCCTGCCTATTGGGCTGTAGGGTTGGGCTCCTCCACTCTGCCTGGCCTAAAGCCATATCCCAGACTGGTATTTTCTCTTGTGGAGGTTCTCAGGGATACAAAACCCTTCTTTTCCTCCTCAAAGTCTGTTCCAGTCGTTTGCCTTTCACTGTTAAAACGTGTATCTGATTTTCAGCTTGCAAGTCTCTGGTTTGAATTTCCATGCACCAGTTTGTGGTATAGCTAATCCCACCACATGAGCAAGGCTATGAAATCAAGTGTATGCCTACAGCCCCAGTCCCAGGCTCTGCAGTGGTAAAGCCACTTCCCATTTAGCACGTCTTTAAACATCTGTAAGCACTCGAGGGTTGCATCAGCTTTTCTTACTGCAACAGCTGGCTGAGGGCTGGGTTTCAGACTCTGCCCATAGCAGCAGCCAGGTTTCCCAGCAGATGTTCTCCCACTCTTGAGACACAGTCTGTGGTGTTTTAACTCCCTAGCGTGTTACTTTGGCTGCATTAAAGCCAATGTGAATCATCCAGGAAGCCCCAGATTACTCAGGTCTGTCTGAATTACCGCCTGCTTCTCTAACTCTTTCATCACTCCCCTGCCAGCTGTGATTCCCGGTCAGACTTCAGACCAAGGATGAAAATACAAGTCTAGGGCTTTCAATTCATTATTCCCACAGACCTTTTATAAGCAATACTCTGTGTTTGGTGAGACATCCTCCACAGTTGTCTGGCTTTGGAGCTCTGACAGTTAACCATCCTGAATCCCATCGTAACGTGTTGCTGGGCTTGTGTTGCATTGGTCTGGAGAGTTGTGTCCATCAACTATTCTATGATTCTATGAAATAAGCAATCAGTGCAAGTCAAAGCTTCAACTCTCCTGCACAGTACCCTTCATCAACCCTGTAATTGCATCAGATGTCCAGACAAAAACTTCTCTAAAGCCACACAGACTGGCATCAGCTACGCCCCCCCTCTTTGCTGTTCAGATTGCATTTTGACCAGGTTGAAGGTCGCTGCTTCACCTTGCTCCCCGCTTCCAAAGGTCAGAATCATGTCATAGAATCCCTGAATGGTTTGGGTTGGAAAGGACCTTAACATCATCCAGTTCCAACCCCCTGCCATGGGCAGGGACACCTCACACTAGCCCATGTTACCCAAGGCTCTGTCCAACCTGGCCTTGAACACTGCCGGGGATGAGGCATTCACAACTTCTCTGGGCACCCTGTGCCTCATCCTCATGGCCTCCTCTGGACTTGCTCCAACAACTCCATGTCCTTCTTATGTCAGCTGCTTCCAGCACCTGTAGAGGTGGAACAGGGAGATTATCTCCTCAATTCAGGAATGAATAAAAGACTGAGATACACATTTAAAGTAACTGCAGCTGCTGTGCTGCTTTTGACCCCAGCTATCTAACAGGATCCCATAACAACGGAGCCGCCCAGCTCTGAAAGATGAGCTAAATGTATTACAGGAACCAGTTGGGTGTAGGACTAGAAACTGGGCCCCATCACAGGTTAGTGTATTGCTGCAAGTCCAAGTTTTGTTTTGGGTATCATACAAATGGTGGTTAGAGATGTCCGCAGCAGTCTGGTGGTTGCGTGGTAGCTGCTTGACGCCAGGCTGCTGAAGCATTTCAGCCAGAGTGCTATTAAGACTTGCATCTCTCCTGTTGGTTTCCATCTAATTCTGGTTGATTCTCTTAAAGCTCTTTCTTTTGTGTGTTAGAAGAGCCACCAGCAGCTAAACCATGTCATTTGGATGTACCCCTATGGTGTGGCTGAGGCCCCACGGCTGGCCAGAAGCAGATGGGTGTAGTCACAAATGCACAAAAGCAACACGTTTCTATTTGGGTAGGGTGGTGACAGCTCACATCGAAGGGTGAGAAAGGCAGATGTGCCCATTGGGTTTCATAGGGCTTCCCACAAAACCTCCATCTTCCCTGGTGTGCAGCTTTGCCTTCATGAGAGAAGTGCACAACTCAGCCTCCCCCAGAAGTGCTGACTAAGGTGTGAAAATCCTCCTGAGCCTTGAATAGCTCTGCCAGCACGTTGTGCAAGTCTGAAGCGTGACCCTCTGCGTTTGGTTCTTGGTTGTTAACTTCCCATTGGGGGACAGCACCATGCAGAGGTGAAATGCCCATGAACCCCTCTTCTTGGCGGTAACGTGGCACTTGGCTGAAGCACCAGGGGTGGTAATTGGAAAGCTCAGATGCATAAAGGATTTGGCTCTTGTCACCCAGACTGAAGGCTGAAACGCACCTTCTGTGTGCTTAGAGGAGTTTGTGGCCCTCTCCTAATTTCACTTCCCTATGTATTACATATAGTGCACGTGGTTGTTTGGAATAGCTGGGTTGAGAAACAGGGGGTTTGGGTCCTGCAGGCTACTGTCTTTGAGATAGCTATAAACATGATGAAGGGCAGAAGTGTTTGTGGGGAGCAGGGTGTAAAACTGCTGGAGAGAGAGAGAGCAAAGCGGTTGAGCAGTTCCATGAGAAGCAGAAGTGAATCTACTATTTCCTGTACTCAGCAAGGGAAAACATCTGATGGAGGGACCTCACAGTCCTGCAGTCTTCTTCAGCATCCTCTGTGCTCTTCAGGCCACTTCATACCTCCGACTGTGACCGTTTTGTGGCAGCAGTTTTGGATGCCAGTGTGATTTATGTGAGTGCAGCTCTTACTTGCCCCTGGACACGCCATGCAGCATCTCACCCTTCCTGCTGGCATAGGTACCACGGGCTTTGCAACCACCCATCCAGGGTAAAGGAAATAATTTGTTACTGTAGAAATAAATGATCCCCATCAGTGAGCTAGAGGAGATTACCTGACTGAAAAAGGTGCTTCAGGAAGGATTGGAGCCCAAGTGACATTCCTCTTTACTTCGGTAAGACCAGGAGTTCATCCCACACCTCTGTGTAAGTGGCCATTCCCGCACCCAGCTTTCTCTGCAGGCAGTGCCAGTGGCTGCAGCCTGTGCTGCAGGATTCTGCCAGACCTGAGGGCTACCCCATAGTGGGAGCTGCATTTCCTTACCTGTGTGAAACCCTCCCTGTGCTCGAGAGCGCAGTGGTTTGTGTGGACACATATGGAAACCTCCAGAGGAACAAGCTGCCTTTCTAGGCATGAATTAAGGGAGCAAGCATCAGAAAGACCAGTGCAGCTACTGGTTCTCAGAGAGGAGACTAAACCAGTGTGTGCTCTTCCTCTCCAGGTCAGGGATTTCCCCCAGCACACACAGTCTAGGCAAGCATCACCGAGCAACCCTCTCTGGATGCTAATGGGATCCAAGCAGGCATCAATCAGTTGTTACCTCTGTGCATGTCGGGACTTCTGCTCATCACACACACATTGAAACAGGAGCACACAGAGCAGAGAAGAAGATGGGGCACTTTGCAGAAACATGGCTTTGTTTCAGAGTCATCAAGTTAGGATGGGACTTCTGAAGGTCTCTTGTCCAAACGCATGCTCAGAGCAGGGCCAGCTGAGTTAGCACTACCTCCAGGGATGGAGAGCCCACAACCCCGGTGAAGCCCTGTGGAGGTGTTTGACCACCTTCACGGTGAAAATGATTTCCCATATAGTGAGTAACACTTTCTCATGGCCATTGCCTCTTACTCCTCTGAGGGAAGTTGCCTGCTTTGCGTTTACACCTTCTCACTAGATTCCCCTTTGAGATGCCTCTTGTTGAGGCTGATCAAGCCCACTTCTCAGCATCTTCTCATGCGCCAGACCCAGTCATTTCAGTAGCCCTCAGCTACTGCACACTGGTACCTCAGTGAAGAACCAGCTGTGGATCACATCAGCCCACAGAGGAAGATGGAGGCTCTGGTGCAGTCACAGCTGAGTGGCAGAGCTGGGTAGGCTGCTGTAGTGATTCATATGCTGCACAAGAGACTTGCTGTACCCTGACAAGTCTTTCCATTTTAAAGGCACCCTCTGCATCATTTCAGTTCAGAAAAGGAGAAAGAAAACATTGCATTACAAGAGGAAACGGCCTCAAGCTGCACCAGGGCAGGTTTAGATGGAGCTGAGGAACAATTCCTTCCCCAGAGGGTGCTCAGGCATTGGAACAGGCTGCCCAGGGCAGGGCTGCAGTCACCGTCCCTGCAAGTGTTCACACAGCGTGGAGACGAGGCCTCAGTGCCATGGGTTAGTGGTGGCCTTGGCAGTGCTGGGAACGGTTGGACTGGGTGAGCTTGAAGGGTTTTTCCAGCCTGGTTGGTTCTATGACTGTGATCATGATGGGAAGGTAGAACATGATGGCCATCTGGGATCTGTCCTGCTCATGTCTGTATCCCTCAGCAGGGTAAAGTAAGGAGATAAGGAACCTGACACATACCTCTGTAGGCACCTATAATCTCACAGTATCTTGTCTGCAGTTTCTGTCAGCTTCTGCCCCAGCACCTAGGCATTTCCTGTGCATCACGTCTAATCCTGCTGGTCAGATACCACATCTCCAGAAGCTGGAGAATTAAACTGGGCTGCAAGCAAGGCCAGGCTGTGCATTCAGACTCATCTCCCAGTTCTAGTGAGCAGGCACTGCAAGAGGTGCTGAGCCCATGGGTGTGCCTGCTTGCTGCAAACTGCCTTCCCATGCCATGCCCATGTTCTGAAACTACCAGCGCTGAGACAGCCCTTCTTATAGCCCACTCTTCCTGTTCATAACCACAAAGATTGTTTTCTAATGACTGTGGGCACTTCTCATTTCAATGCTTGGGAGACATTGAGGCTTTGATCTTTCAGAAGAAGAAGGTATTTTCAGATGGAGAGCCTGCATTTCCAACTAGCGCAGAAAACCCATCTTTGAGAGATGACTGCAAAATAAGAGGGCAGAAATTCATGGTCCACACCACAAAGGGTGCTCTGGCAATGAGGCCTTAGGAGAAAATGTCAATGGTCACAGCAGCCACCCATGGGAGAGTTAGTTGTTACCACTACATCAAATGAAACTTCTTGGGCAAGGACTGTCTCACACCTCACGACATCTCTATTTCATGCTTAGTTTCACAAGGCTTATTTTAAATAGAGGCTATAAAAACTATTGCTATCAGCGAAGAGTGGACGTGCTGGGATTCCAGCCACTTCACTCCAAGTGTTAGGAGTGGGAGCAGTTACACACCATCGGCGTCTGCCACTGAGTAACGTGCCCATGCTCTGCTTATAGTCAAAAGGAGCTTCAGCAACACCATCAGCAGAGTCTGGAAAGCAGCCTGCCTTGTCTTAAAGCACATTTGGCCTGACACTGCTCTTCATTGGCTCTATGGACCACATCTCCCACTGACAGGAGATGTAAACATCTGATTAGAGGCAGTTTATGGTCATTGAACCAAGCCCCTTCCTTACAGCCAATGGGGGTTCCTGTAAGGAGACAGTGACACTGTGACCAAGGGTTAGTTATCAGTTGCAGTTTTGTTCTCACTGACCTTTCCTTCCAGATCCAGCTTTAACAGGCTGGTTTGGCCCTGTTGTCATCTCCCTGAATCATCCTCTTTTCCCTTATCATGTAGCCAGAAGATTCAGCATGACGGAAGCATTCACAGGGACAACGGCTGAATACACTTATGATGAACAAGCTTTTTCCTGCAATAAGACTGACATCCAAGAGTTTGGGAAGATATTCCTGCCAATATTTTATATTGCAGTGTTTGCTCTCGGCCTCACAGGGAACCTGATGGTGGTTTTTGCCATTGTGAAAGAAGGCAGCAAGAAAAGCATCACTGACATCTATCTACTGAACTTGACTATCTCGGACCTTCTCTTCGTGATCTCCCTCCCCTTCTGGGCCTCCAACACGGTGCGTGGATGGACCCTTGGGACTGTTCCATGCACGGCTGTTTCCTCGCTGTATTACATTGGTTTCTTTGGGGGCATGTTCTTTATCACTGTTATCAGTATTGACAGGTACTTGGCCATTGTCCGGGCGACGTATTCTCTGCGATCCAGAACAGCGAAGCACGGCTTTCTTATAACCTGTGCAGTGTGGGCAATAGCTGTTCTAGTTTCAGTGCCACAATTTGTGTTCTCCCAGCTGGTAGAAAACGACTGCGTTTCTGTCTACCCCCAGGAGCTGGAGAACATCTGGCCAGTGTTCTGCAACGTGGAACTGAACACCCTCGGGTTTCTCGTCCCGGTCTGTATCATTTGCTATTGCTACTGTGGGACCATCAAAACCCTGCTGTCCTGCAAGAACCAGAAAAAAGCACGGGCTGTAAAGCTGGTCTTGGTCGTGGTGGTGGTGTTTTTTCTGTTTTGGTCCCCCTACAACGTCCTGATTTTTCTAGAGACTTTAAGGCACTATGAGGTATTCACGAGTTGCAACCAGATTAAATCCCTGGACTACGCAATGCACCTGACTGAAACCATCGCGTTCAGCCACTGCTGTCTCAATCCTTTTATCTATGCCTTTGCTGGGGAAAAGTTCAGGAAATACCTTCATCGTGTGTGCTTAAAGTACTGCCCATTCCTGTGCTTCTGTGGGCCCTGCAGCCGCTACCAGATCCCCCCTTCGGCCAGCTATGCAGAAAGCATGGTGAACAGCAACATAACCCTCAACACCAGTGACCAGGATGGCTCTGTCTTCGTCTGAAAGGCTCTGTGGAGAAGAAATGTGTGTAAATACATCGCCTGCAGGGCCAGCCACCTCTGAGAGTTGCCATTACCTGTATGGAGAGACTCAATGGCTGCACCGAACCACTGACGTGCCTCTTGTTAAGCATTAGATGTTTCTAAACCAGTGAAGATGTTAAGAACCAAAGCAGTACAACATGTCAAGGCTGAAGGTGGAATTGAATCAAGAGAGAGGAAGGGGGAAAGTGAAGCAAAAGCAGCACTCTTGGCCTGGCATGGGAGTTGGAGAAGAATTTAAGGAGAGGGAAGCTGTTGAATAGTTTCATCATTGAAACTTGCACACGTGCCATTGTATGAACACAGGGTACTAATGTACATAGACCTCAACTCAGTTTTTAAGGGACTAGAGATCTGTTTAATGAATGGTAGCTGACTGTTATCAAGGGCAGTGTTTTTGATACCTAAGGGGTATATTTTTGATGCTGTATATTCATATAGAAGTGATTTTGGGGTATTGGTTGCGATAAATGTTTTACCTGTGCTTTCATACCTAATCAAATCCTACTGTTAAAACACCCCAGAGTTATTTCTGAACACGCATTTACTGCCAGCAATGCACTCGGTGTTTGTAGCATGCACTAACCAGAGAGCAAAGACCATGCTTAAGGGTTTGGGTCCTGACCTGGAGCTGATCCAGGGAAAGGTATGGGTTTGGGAAGCATTGTGCTTAGTTCAAGTACATCACAATCAGGCTGCGAATTGCTTGCAGAGGGTGGTAAGTACGTGCTTCATGCCCATACTCTGCTTGCCACACGTTGTAAACACTAACTGTGTCTATGCTATCATAGCCAAGAGCTTTCAGGACAAAATAACCACTTGCCCATGCTGTTTACCACAACCTTCCTCAACCTTTGTGGCCTCCCCTCCCATAGCTGATTTCCCCAGGGAAACCTGCAGCTGTACCCGGATTTAACACATCCCAGAGGACACACTTACCTTGTGCACTCCGCATCCTGCAAACATCCCTTCTACTCTTGCAGTCAGACAAGTGAGAGACCTTCTGCAGGGCCCTCCCTGTGGAGCTCCTGCCATCATCTGCTGCAAGAGCAATGGAGGTTTGTGTTGGCCCTTTGGGGTGGAGGTAAGGGAATGGACCACTGCCATCTGCAAAGCTGAGGAAGACCAATCTCCCAGAACAAGTCCATGCCAGTGGGACCCTCTCTGTAGACACTGATGGAAGTGGGAGTGTGGGAAACCTGCAGAACCCCCCTCACTTTCCAACTAGCACAAAAGAGTTGTTCTCTGCTATCAGTGGGAAGAGTAGGCTCTTTCTCCTACCACTTCATTCTAAGAAGGTTGGAGGGGAACCTTTCCATGGAGACATTTTCCATGTGCAAAAGGATCACAGAATGGTTTGGGTTGGAAAGGATCATCCAGTTCCAACCCCCCACACTAAACTGTGTTACTCAAGACCCCGTCTAACCTTGAGCACTGCCAGGGATGGGGCAGCCACAGCTTCTCTGAGCACCCTGTGCCAGCGCCTCAGCACCCTCACAGGGAAGAGCTTCTGCCTTAGATCTACAATATCTATACATATATGAAATCTTCCACCCTGGGCTGCTGCACACCCATGTCACTCTACAGGACCACAGCCCCTTTCATAAAACACCCTTTATTAGGTGTACATACATTCTATATGCTCAACATTAAAACCAGCAGCTACCAGTGCACTTACAGACACCAGACTCACCGTCTAAGATGAAATGCAGTATAAGTGTCACTTGGAATCAGATTCCACTTCAAAGTCCAGCCTGCCCAAGTGGGATCAGACAATCCCCTCTGTCCCCACCCCCAGGCAAGTAGCATTGGAAATAAATGGGATTTTTACAGTGGTTTCTAAAGAAATGCTAAGATGTGCAGAAAGAAAGAGGAAGATGCTCTGAGACTAAACAAGAAGTCGTGTCTGCACGAAATCAGCCTGGAGAGGATGCGTTGCCAAGCTGAGCGATGCAGTCTCACTTGGCTTATTTGAATTCCCTTTTCTGTTCCAGACAACAGGGAGTTCCTGCATGGGAGGAGTATCAGGCACGTTTAGATGTGATCCATGTACTGTCTTCAGCATGAAGCCTCTCTGACAGCTCTCTAGGGAGGACAGCACTTTCCTGCCTATCCCTGTGGTTTCCCAGCAATTCCTGCCCATCCCCAGCACAGTGCATCCCAGCACACGTAACTTCCAGATCCATCTGCACAGTGCGAGCCCAGTGATTGTCAGCCTAAGATCATCAGTGCTTATTCCATGTATTTGCAAGTTATAAGGGATGTTATTTATGTATTTGAGTGTTTGTATGGGATTCAAAGCTTCAGGGTGGCTTCTTAGCATTGGGTTCTGCAACAGCTTGTCCGTGCAGATGCCTCCTCATAGCAGAAGTGATGACTCAAAGAAAACCCACTGAAAACCAAACCATTTTCCTTCTGTTTGCATCAGCAAGAAGAGTTTCCTTGTAACTGTCCCTTAAAAACCCTTCAGCCTCCAGGAAACATCCAGTGCTCTGAGGGCAACCGGTAACCAGCTTTACCAGGACTGGGCTGAGCTGCAGCTGAACTGTACTGCATCATGCCAGGATGTATGGGGAGCCACAGCCCCACAGCTCCTGCCCACACCGTGCCTCTGCTGTGCTGTGTGACAGCAAATACTGTGTGGTCTCCTGTGTTTCTGCTTATTCTATACCTCAAGGTGTTCCTTGCACCATTCGAGCCTGGCTGAAAGCCCACTGGTGTCTCTAAGTGCCTCCACTGGACTTCCAGTTAAGTATAGCCTTTACTTAAAGATGCTGCTTCTCTTTCAAAGCCTCTGCAGTGGGAAGCTGGTGCTTTCTAACTGCCCAGCCAGTTTACAGCATGCACTTTCCTATGGACGGCACTAAGGCTGAATATATCCTTAGACTGGATCAGCACATCCCTGAGGGTCATCCAGTCCCTACCCATCACATATGAGAAAGGAAACCAGTCTCTCAGTACGGGATAACCCCTTTTGATCTGCCATAAACTACAGATAGACTCTTGCTTACTTAGCAAGTCACAGTTTACACATGAAAATGCACACACAGAAGCACACTTGGTATAATCTATCCATTGAATAGCATTTGGTTGTGCTAAAAGGTCAGGAAACCTCTGGAATGGGGGTGGTGGATTGGGCTTTGTGGTTTTTTGGGGGTGGTGAGCTATCTTTGCATCTTATTTTGCCATTGCGATCAACACATCCTGTTTGAGAATCACACTGACACGTAACATAAATCTTTTAGCAGCAGGGTTACACTTTGAGGAACAGATAAAACCCGAGCCCTCATCTACTTATAAATAGAATGAACAAGGCACATATTTAGCCAGACTGCTTGCGGTGAGGTACATGGACATGAAGTGTCCTTTTTAGGTGCCACTGTGAATCCCTCTCATTCAAATACCCCATCGCAGTCCCAAGATAGGATTTATGTTTCTCTGGTTTTAAACCATACCTGGCTGCTCTGAACTCTTTTCATTGAGCTTTGGGGGTTTTAACTTGTACAAACCCCTTAGGAATGCACCAGTCAGGGCATCACACTGTCCTCAGAGATCACTCAGTGGTAAAAGCCATTGTTTGAATCATGGGCATCAGAAGCCTCTACCTGCACATTTCCTTTGGATCAAATTGCACTGGGAGTGGATCTGAAGCCCTGCTCCAAGGCAGTCTGAAGTTTTAAGGCTCTATTTAATAGAGAAACTATGAACACACTGGTGATGGATTAACTTCTGCCACTTCCATTTTGTCTCTCTTACCTTTGGGACATCCTTCACTGAGGTCTCATAGGTAATATAAAACCATTGTCCCAGCAGGATGCTCTGATGCCAACGAGGGGACAAGTCCCATCCATGCAAGGTTCCGTACCAAGTCCTGCTATCGCTAACAACCAAAGGAGAGCTTCCCAAAGAAAACCTCAGTTACCAGCTTTCTTCTTCCCAAACCTGAACCCTAGCAGTTGCACTGGCTCTCTCCATCATTGCAGCTCCTGCCTGGTAACATTTTCCTCTGTAGCTATTGCCAACGCACGTTGTGCTTTGCCAAAGGCCATTTACAGACCCCTTATAAATGGCCACATTTTAGCAGTGAATGAACTGTTTTCTGTATTAAGGACTTACACAGTCCTGCACAAAGATTTACTGCTTGCACTCCAGTGTCATAACTCTGTAAGAGACCAGAGCTCTAATGAAAACCTGTGACTCGCAGAGATGTCATCCTGAGGTTCAAACCCCATTACCAAAGCTAAACATGAGAACAGTTTAGAGCTGCTAAAGGACACGTGTCACACACATACAGCCCTTCTGGTGAAGCTGGTGATGATTCTGCTGCCACTCTTCAGAACTTCCTAATTTGCTTGGTAACTACTGCAAGAGCTTGGTGTTCAACACACGCACACCCAGACCTCTGCAGTGTCAGTGTTAACGCATTGCTTTCAGTGCAGAAAAGAACACCTACCAACTGCTCCCATGTAGTTTTGTTTGTTACATGGATATTTGAGACATGAATGTCAGTAGTTAATAGACTGTATTTAGTAGTTAATATACTGCATTTGCCATTCCTTTCCCTAAAGACACGGTGTATAATAGCTCCCATTGGACATGGGGAAAGCGGTTTGCTTGTGAAGGAGTTTGCTTCTACCCAACTTCCAACTGTGGTCCTTCAATCAGCTGGAAGCAGCACATTAACCTTGTATCACTGAAGGCAGAGGTTAGTGATGGGACAGAGGATACAAGCAAGGACCCTGGCACTACTTTATCGCCCTATAGATGATATTATCCACTTGTCATCAGCAGCTGTAACCAGAACAGTCCATTTGCCACCCCCCTCAGATTTTAGGTCTCTGATAAGTTAAATGCATTTGTCACTACTCCATAGTAACCTGTAGTCCAACAATCCAGCTACAAGTAGGTCGATAGGCTGGGATAATGCAGGCCATTGAAAGAAGCTGTGTTTCTCCCACAAGAAGTTTGCATTTAGCCCCTAAATGCTACATTTGCTGTATTAAAATCAAACCCAGCAGCACGGTGACGCTAAGAAACAGCACCACAGCTTGCAATGGATTTGCAGGGCACATCAGAGGATGCTGAGGAAGCAGAAGGGTAGATGGCTCCATACATCTGCTGACAAGAGAGTTCCCTCTAGTGCCAGACATGTGCTGCTGCTTCTGTGTGCAAGTTCTATGCCCTTCACCAGCACAGTTCCTTACATAGAAGAACTGCTGGAAACCTTGAGCTGCAGCTCCCATTATTTCTCTGGGCTCCAAGGAGGTAGGAGCAAACTAGAAGGAAATGGCACCACCTCTATGCCACCCCTTTGCCACCCCTTTGCCCCAGGCAGCTGAATACCGTGGGCTCCAATTTGGCCATAACAGGAACACAAGGCAGCGAGGAGCATCTCCCACTGGAAGGGCCTCAGACAACAGAACTAATGGCCTAAAGCTGCTCAGGGATGGGGAATTGGGTTAGCACACACAGGAATTGCTTTTCCAGCTCTTCCTAGGGACATCTCGCTAGATTCCTGGTGCAGAAGGACCTTCACCACCACGTTCTGGAAGGAAGGTGTTTGAGGAGGCTTAAAGCTGGGTTTGTCTGGTTTATAAATGGCACTCCTAGAGTTGGCTCAGATTTGACCAGGTCTTAACCCCTGAGTGCTTCAGAGCCCCTCTCCAGCACATCTTTGCTTTACTGTAGCCCCTCTCAGTATTACCTTAGGAAACAGAGGCCCTCATACTGCTGCCAGATGGTTTATCTAAGGGAGCCCTCATTTGAAGCACTAGGACTCACCATCACTTGGTCTCTTGTTCAGTTCCTTCTTCTTGGTCCTGTTGCTGGTCCCTGCTCTCCAGATCCTCCTCATAGCTCAGGTTCCTGGAGATTACAGTGCAAGGGATGGTCAGAATACAAGCAACCATAAAGACAACACTGGATGCACGGGCCAGAGGTTACAGAGCAAGCCAGATTCAGAAAAGGCAACTGTAGGCGGTGGTGTATGTCCTTTTACACAAGGCTAACAGCACCTGGAACCAAGTATTTCCAGGTTCCCTTCTCACTATCTGTCTATTCACCCTTGCTCATAGAATCACAGAATGGTTTGGGTTGGAAAGGACCTCAAGATCATCCAGTCCCAACCCCGCTGCCATGGGCAGGGACACCTCACACTAAACCATGTCACCCAAGGCTCTGTCCAACCTGGCCTTGAACACCGCCAGGGATGGAGCATTCACAACCTCCTTGGGCAACCCATTCCAGTGCCTCAGCACCCTCACAGGGAAGAATTTCCTCCTTATATCCAATCTAAACTTCCCCTGTTTCAGTTTTAACCCATCACCCCTTGTCCTGTCACTACAGTCCCTGATGCAGCCCCCTCTGTCCTAAGCTCACCCCATCATTTCTTGTGTCCATCTTTAGTGTCAATGCGTTCTTTGCGTTCTCACCAGAGGGTGGCATCATTAAACCCTCTCCAAGGTCAGTAACGGTAAAGGAGGCAACTGCAGTCCCTGAGGAGCAAGCAGTGTGGAAAATGTACTTAAGCAGAGTAAGAAGATTAGTCCTTGCGTTCTGCTGCTGGAAGAAACATCCATTTCTGCAGGCCTTTCTGCTTTGCTTGTCCTTGAGCAAATGAGAGCCTGTGGGTGTTAAATTAAGCAGCTTTCCCAGCGGTTCCCGAAGCACATCAGGATCTCTTGTGAATCGCAGAGAGAGCTGTTCCAAAGAGAAGCTTTTAGTGTTGGTATCTCAGTTTTCTTTCGTGCTTTCCGCTGCTACTGAACAGATCACATCAGTTGGCTGTAGAGCTTGTCTTGAGGACGTGCAGTGAAACAGCTTTAACAGGGATGGCAGTGACTGGGTCTCAGCAAGCATAGAAGGAAGATTAACGGTTGATAAGAGCAAGGACTGGGTCTTTCTCAGCCTTGATCCCCTTCAAACACTTTGTTTTCTCTAACTACCTCCCTTTATGTCACAGCTGCCAGGTGAGGAATGGGGCAGGAGAGGCTGTGGAGACACTTGTGTCCAGAATAAGGCCAGTCTTTCAACAAGCTCTTTAACACTACCAACCACTACAGGTTAAGACCTGGGGGCACTACCGTGAATCAACCAGAAGTCAAAGCTTTTGCACCAGAACACCACTGTTCCTCTGTACCTAAGCATCTCAGTGAGCATCAAACTGGCTTGCAGCTATTCAATGCTGCCTTGTCTGCTTCCTTCCTTTGGAGAGACCAGCCTTTAATGGGGACATCTGTGATCCTTGGGGGATGTCTGGGAAGCTTAAAGAAGAAAAACTCTATCATCTCAGAGTGGAAACAGCCCAAATGTGTCCTCCTCCTGTAGAAACAGCTTGGGAGCATTCTGTAGGTGACTGACACAGACAAAGCAAGCTCCTCATGGTGTCACTGCACATTTAAGAACCAGCTCATGGTTCTTGCATCAATGATTTCTACTTCTGGTAAAACTCAGCCTTCAAAATGACCATTCCAGTCATGTTTGAGGTTTGAAGTTTCAGTTCTTTCTTCATGAGGAGCTCTAAATATAACAGCTTTGCAAGCACGTGAAAGAAAGCAAGTCAGGCTGAGGAAATGATGCCTGGTGCCATCACAGAACGGCCAGTGGATGCAAGCAGCAGGATGCACACAGCTGGACCACCAAGAGGAAAACAGATGTAGGGAACTGAACTGAGCAGGGAAAAGATGTTTTGGCCTTAACTCTGTTGCTGCCAGTGCAAAGGCTGTCTTGGCCAAAGGGAATGTGGAGGTTCAACAAGATTGAGGTAAATGAGGAGTGGATCACCTGGGACAACAGTGTAGACAGTGACTGTCTCTAAAACCAGCTTCAGCTCTGTCAGATTCCTGCAGTTCGAGTCATGCATAGGGAAAGTGGAATAAATCTAAATGACAAGGAAAGGAGCTGCACAAGGAATAGGTGGCACAAACACCTTCCTAATGAGCAAGGATGGGAACTACAGATGTGCAAACTGCCATTTCGATTCACTTGAATCGCAGAAGAATTGCCCAAGGGCCGACCATGCCAGAAGATGGAGAGGATGGAATTGTCTGGCCAGGTGTGACTTTGGCTGATCCACACAATCAGTCAAAACACTCATTTTTGCACAAGCTGCTCCCTTCAGTTACCATCATCTGCATCTCTCCTGACACAGCATCTTCTGGATGAGGACTCCTCTAATGGAGACTTCTGGATCGTCTATCCATGCCAACACTGATACTGGAGGCAATGGATGGTGCGTTGGCATATCAGTGGTGGGTATCTCACAGCCTAGCTCGTGGCTTAGATAATCATCTCTCTCTAACCCTTCCTCACAGAAAACTCTTGGGCATCCTGTAAACTGGCAAGTCAATGATAAGACCTCCTGTAAAGGTGGGAGGGGCTGAACGCATCTTTCGGTCACAAGCAAGGTTTTAACTCTTTGGCTTGTTCTGCTTTTTGCTTTTATTAAGTTCCCCTCTTTTGGTTTTGATGTGCCCCCCCCTCCGCCTCCCATCCCATATAAAAGATTAATCTCCTCCCTGTCACGCGAATCAGTTTTGGTTGACCTCCCTGCACTGTCATGATTGACTTGGTCAGTGGCACGTACCTGATGTCACCTAGTGAAGAGGTAAGGCTGCTTTCTTCTCCCCTTCTCCTGCCAACCCTTGGTTTTACAGCAGCATCCTCTGCATTGCAGTGAGAGCTCTTCACCCTTTCCTCTCAGCCCCGTGGGCTCCTCCTTGGGTTAGTCTCTGCCAGGTTGTTCTTCTCCAAGGAGGACGTGATAAAGCCATGCTGCCACATTAAAAGGGGACCTCAGAGCTCCCCTACTATGAGCTACAGTTATCCTTAGTGCTTTTCACTCTTCTTTCTCTCCAAGCTATTGCAGGACCTTTGCTCACGCCACCTTCCAGCCATTTTCTGCAGCATCTCATTTGCTCAGAGGTTTCTTTTTGTATCCTCTCTCCAGTTTTCCCCACAGGCTCTCCCAGGGACTCCTTTCTTTGGGAAGCCATCACAAGGTGTTTCTGGGTTCATCTTTATCCTCTTCATTTTCATGAGCTGGCAGATACAGGGGTTTTTAGCATCATGTGCTGGTGTTCAAACATCCTAAGCTTTCATTGTCTGTAGCCACAACCATTCTTCTCTTTTTTTGTGGCTCTTTTCCTCTTTCTACACACACATTCTTGGTCACTCTCTTTACAAAGACAGACCCGCTGCAGCATGAAATGCATTGGGACGGCAGCTTCTGCAGTACAAATGCTGCTTTGCAAGGCAGTGTGGTCCCACCATTCCTCTCCACCCAACCCAACAAGGATGCTTTGCTGCCCCCCTCCTCTGGTGGAAGCCAAGCTTTCCACCCAAGGCAGCGAGCAGATACAAAAACCTCCTTCAGAAGCATTTCCTACTTGAAAGTCCTCCAAGGCAGAACTGGGCAAAAGGCAATAAGCCAGATAGATAGGTCCTTCTTTCAGGTCAATGCCATATGAATCATATTAAACTGGAACCCATAAGGCTGCAGACCTGGTCCCTGCTAACAGTGTGACTGGAAGATTAGAAGCACATCTGAAGTGTGACATGTGTGCTAAGGACAGGTCGACTGATCTCAAATGGATGCTGATGATGGGAGATCACCCCTTAACCAAGAAGGGTTCTTCCAGGACAGAAGATCATATCTGGATTCAATGCTATTCACTACTCCTATTCATAGGGACTTCATCTGGAAAGCAAGGAAAATCACCACTGATGAAATTCAAAGGAGATGCTTAGTTTGATGGAGTAGAAAATGATGAGTGGAGCAAAGACAGGAATGCAGATACACGGTGGTTTACTGGGGCAAAAACATGATGGCCAAAACTAAGAGATAGCAATGCCTATAGAGCAAGAGGTGAGGTTTTCCCTGAAAAGCAGGTGCTTAAAGAAAGATTTTATGTCACTGCTAACATGGGTGAAGAGCTGAATTTTGCCCCTAGTGCAACGACACATGAAGGAAGAGATCAGTGGGGCCCTTCCATGGACAGCAGAGCACCAAGAGGACCAGCTTCTTGCTCCCATGAGCAGAGCTGATGAAACTGGTACCGCAGCGTTGCCTGCATCTTCAAAGGACTGGTAGCAAACTGCAGTGAAGATGCACACGTTGTGCAGGGCAACAAAGGAACGTCTCCCAGTGACAGCGTTAAACACCTCCAGAGGTGCAGCTTGGGAAAGGTGACTGAGGAGCTATCTCCCTACAATCCTTTTATCCCAGTGAAACGTGGGAGCGGTAGATCCCACATCTCCTGCTGTCTCCACACCAAGCTTCTCAGGAAGAAATGCCTCAGCCAAGTGTAAGTTATTGGCCAGGATAACAATGTTAGTGGCATATAGGACAGCAGCAAATAGCATAACTGAACCAAAGATATAACAGAATAACACTGGAGATCAAACTAGATGTATGCTTTGTCCTGGACAGAGATCTGCGATTCTTCCTACCCTCCCAACCACCTCCTGTAGCTTTCTTGTTTCCTCTTCTCATCGTGTCTCTTCAGTATCTCCTGCTACCAAGAAAGCAGCCTGCCCTGTTGAGAAACTGCTTTTGCTTCTGCTTAACTGGTCTCTTCTGGGACATGGAGAAGAGCAGCGCTTGCCAAGCGCTAGCACTGATGTTCTGGTGGGACTCAAACCATTTGACTACCAATGGCCTCTGAGCCCATTCTCCCTTACCAGGATCCCCCCAAAAGACCAATAGAGCCCTCAGCACTGTCAGGAGAAAGGCATAGAAGCTGCTGAGCTTCCTGCTGTGACAAGAGCCACGGTAACCTTCTGCCCTTACACTGCACACCCTGCTTCTTATCTGGTACTTTACTACTGTTACCGTTGGCACCAGGTCAGTGGTAGCAGATAATGTGCTGCATATAAAACCTGCCATAGGAGATAAGCAGCATGAATTAACACACCTTCATTTTGTTTCTTAGCAAGGTAAGTAGGAGTCAGGAAGCTCAAACAACAAGGAAAAGAAGGAACCTTCCCCTCACTGACTCTATATACGTTCAATTACAGAGTGCAATCTGCACACTGAATGATGTGGCAGAGAGGGGCTGGAACCGCACCTCGCACACCTCGGGTGCCTTCCTCCTCTGCGCACCACAGATGACCCCTTGAGTGGTTTTTCTATGGTTAAGATGCGTTTTACACCCCATAAGAAAGAACAAGGTTTCTGTTGAATGTGAGCTGCTCAGTGAAGTGTGTTCTACTGAATACTGGTTAAGGTGAAGATGCTTTAACTCAGTGATCAGACCCAGTGGAAACTTTGCGTTTCCTTAGACATAAGGTGCGTTTTGCTTGATTTCAGAGTTTAAAGGGCCATCTCTGATGAGCACTGAGGGAAGAAAGCGCTTGTGATACCATCTGTAAGGAAGTACGAAGCTTCCGTTAAGAGGCAGCTCCCCAGTGCTCCTGCAGCTGCTGGCTATTGCTGTGTAGGCAGCACCTCGACAGAGCTACCTGGGCAGAAGCAAGCGATTCTGCACCTTTAAAGCAAAGAAGCTTCTTCCCATCATCCCAGAAGAAAGGAGGAGAAAAGGTAAAGCTCACAAAGTGCAGTTGCTTCAGCAGTCGTGCATCCTGTGTGCTCATCATGTGTAACTGCAGTGCTGCTTCATTAAGCTTTCTTTGCTGCCCAGGTAACTTTTGAAGCTGTTTTAACTCCATCATCAGAGGTGTATGTGCATTCTGTTAGATATGTTTTCAGGTTTAAGTATTGCAGTATATGACAATGAAGCTACATTGCATTCAGGTACAGCTAGGTGCATCAGTTTTGTCACTGTCACTTGTGATTCAGATTAAGCTCCTTGTTGCGTGTAATGGGACACAGCTGTAGGCTGGAGAGGTGTTGTGCTTGGGATGACACACAGGAGGGGTTGGGTTAATGGAAGTCAGGGTTTGTTGTTACACAGCAGCAACACGCAGTGCAAAGACAAATAAATCAGTGATGCTGTCCTGCTATTCCTAAACGTAAAGGTGAAGGACAGGACTCAGGCTTAGAAAAGCTCTGGTGTGTGAGGCTAAAACAGTGACGCTTGTCATGATGTGAATAACACACATCAGTGATACATCAGCTGTATATCTGCACTGTGTCCAGGTTACCTCAAAGTAACATGACTTAAACCTCTGTCTCTGCCTGTTAGAAAAGACCATGCATACAAAAATGACCAATTCCTGTTATTAGCTTAGCCACTGAAGACAGCACTTACTGAAACCTCAGGTCAGCTTTCAGTGAGTGTGAATTCTTCAGAAAGGTCAGATCCATTTTCATTACTGTCTTCTTACTTACTGTTCTCCTGATGAGACAGGGGGTGAAACCCTGAGCTGCTATGAGCAGCGGCTTTGCTTTATTCCACACAGCATTTATCCTGCTCAGATTTGATATCTGTGGTCTGCACCTTTCACTCCTGTTTGCTTTACCTCTTCACTAAGCAATGTGTGCTTCACATCCAGGTTGCACAGTGCTGCAAGGACTAAACACATGCATGTCACATGTGATGGGGAACGGCTGAGGGACCTGGGGGGTTCAGTCTGGAGAAGAGAAGGCTCAGGGGGGACCTGATGGCTCCCTACAAGTGCCTGACAGGAGGTTGGAGTGAGGTGGGGTCGGTCTCTGCTCCCAAGGAACAAGGGACAGGACAAGAGGAACCGGCCTCAAGCTGCACCAGGGCAGGTTTAGATGGAGCTGAGGAACAATTCCTTCCCCAGAGGGTGCTCAGGCATTGGAACAGGCTGCCCAGGGCAGGGCTGCAGTCACCGTCCCTGCAAGTGTTCACACAGCGTGGAGACGAGGCCTCAGTGCCATGGGTTAGTGGTGGCCTTGGAGTGCTGGGAACGGTTGGACTGGGTGAGCTTGAAGGGCTTTTCCAACCTGGTTGATTCCATGATTCTATGACAGTACATTTTGCAAGGGTGCACATGCAGGATGCTTCACCTGTGTTAGAGAACCTTTAGTGAGAAGTGCGTTATAAGTCAATCACTGCTAATGATTCAGACTTGTGGGGTAACCACACGATCTTCATGCACCGAAAGTTGCTGACAGTTTTATGTTCTTTTCTTCTCAGGAACTAAGGGAAAAACCATGAATTTTCCAAGTACTGAGTCCTTTGAAGTCGACACCTCAACCTCATATGAGTATTACGATAATTACGACGATGCTCCAAAGCCCTGCAGTAAGGAGACTGTCCGGAGGTTCGCAGCCTCCTTCGTACCTGTTCTCTATACTCTGGTCTTCCTGGTCGGGCTCACGGGAAACATCCTGGTCATTGTGGTCCTCTTCAAGTACAAGAGGTTGAAGAGCATGACTGATGTGTACCTGCTGAACCTCGCCATCTCCGATCTGCTCTTTGTTTTATCCTTGCCCTTCTGGTCTTATTTCATGATAGACCAATGGGTTTTTGGAACTCTCTGGTGTAAAATTATCTCATGGATGTACCTGGTTGGGTTTTACAGCGGGATATTTTTTATTATGCTCATGAGCATAGACAGATACCTGGCTATTGTTCGTGCAGTGTTTTCCTTGAAAGCAAGGACTGCCTTCCATGGCTTGGTCACTAGCTTTGTCGTATGGCTCGTAGCTCTTTCAGCCTCAGTTCCAGAGCTTGTATTCGCAGAATCTTTCCCTGAGAGGAATTATACTACCTGCACGACAAGCTATCCGGGCAATTACACAACATGGAAGCTTTATTCCACTTTGGAAGTCAACATCTTAGGGCTCCTAATCCCTCTTACCGTTATGACGTTTTGCTACTCCATGATCATTAAAACATTAGTGCACTGTAGAAATGAGAAGAAGAATAAGGCCGTGAGGATGATTTTTACTGTCATGGTTGTGTTTTTCTTCTTCTGGACCCCTTACAACATTGTTCTGTTTTTGCAACTGCTGGAAAACATGGGAGTCCTTAGGGGCTGTCAAGTGAGCAGGAATCTGGACTATGCTTTCCAGGTAACAGAAATCCTCGGCCTTTCCCACTGTTGCCTCAATCCAGTCATCTACTTCTTCATGGGGGAGAAGTTTAAGAAGTACGTGAAGATGCTCTTCAAGAACTGGTGGTTACCTGGGGAGATGTGCAAGTGGTGCAGGGTTCACATCGCTTACCACTCTGAATCTACCAGTTCCTTCCACACACAGTCGACAGGGGATCAGGAGGCTCTGTAGCGCATCTCACACCGGCCACAGGACTCACCAGCAAGGCAACTGACAAGGGCAGGAGCTCCAGAAAGCCAAGCAAATGCACATGCATTTAACAATAAGCTAGTGCTGGACAATGACTCGCTTCAGCTTTGATTTCTGCCTCTAGATACACTGAAGGCTATCAACAGAAGGTGCCCTACATGTGAAATGTAGGAGATGGACACGCGAGTTTTGTCCGCTGCAATCCCCAATCGCTGCTCAGCTGTAACAGCAGCCCCAGCTCCCTGCAAAGCACTGTGCTGTGCATCTGCTTTTCACCAGGATCAGGATGGAGGTTGGCTCCTTGCATGGAGGGGGAAAGGAGAGTCCTGTTATCAGCATCTGGAAAACACATCCGCTTCTTCCAGGAGGATTGGTAGTACTGCTGTGCTTTGTTCCACAGCTCATCTGTGTAGGACTTGTTCGCTCTGGCTCTTAGCAAGCTCTTAACAGTACCTGCGACTGTCAAATGTTTCATCTTGGGGGGGGGGAACACACCCTCTGTCATTAAGGACTTCAGATATAGCACAAAGACTCAAAGCAAATGCATTACACTGTGTTACAGACAGTTTCTCTTAGGTATCCAAGTTGCCACGTGTACCTGCGTGTAAGTGTATATACAGGCATTTTGAATTACTTTATCACTGGAATTCAGGATTCTGTGTTTTAATTAACATTTTTAAAGTGCTTTGGATAGAAGTGTTTTTAAAAAACCTGATTTTCCAGCGTGTGTTAATAAATTCAAAGCATCTTGGTTAAAAGTCTATCTTTAAAAGTCAATATTCTTTGTCTCAGAAGTACTTAACCCCAAGGCTCACTTTTCATTCACTGAACACCTATCTGGCCATCAAGAGGGTAAAACCAGAGACTGTATAGAAATGGTCTGTCAGAAACCACACCAAGAATCCTAGTGCTTGATAACAGCAAAACGCAGAGTGCGATGCTTCAGTAGCCACTCACAGATCTACACAGCATTAATCAAAGACCTGATCAGGAAGCAAACTCACACTGCAATGCTGAGGGTTTGGCACAAAAATAACTTAAAAATGGTTAAAACTCAGTACGGTGGTGGCAGGTAAAGTGAGAGTTGAAGAAATACATAATGGCAGGTATTTCTGGTGTGTCTTTGTGCTGGATCACAACCATTCAGCAGGAAGACTTAGGTTGTCAGTAACAAAGTGCCTGCTCAGCACTCAGGCAAAGAGCAGACAAGACATTCAAACGCAGCAGGAAAGGCTTGGAGAAGACATGTAGAAATATCATAGTGGTGTTGGCCTCATGGCCCTAAGCAAGAAGTGTTAAGTGGAAGCTCATTGCCATGTAGTGATAGGACAAGGGGTAATGGGTTAAAGCTGAAACAGGGGAAGTTTAGATTGGATGTAAGGAAGAAATTCTTTCCTGTGAGGGTGGTGAGGCACTGGAATGGGTTGCCCAGGGAGGCTGTGAATGCTC